TGAAATATGCCAAATTGAATTTTTTATGCATATCAATATTTTCTATTTTATGTCATAATAATAAATGGTCAATTGAAAGAATATTATTTAGTCTCAAAGTGGCCTGAATTCCTGTTTTATTAAACAGATCAGTCAATTTTAATGAAATAGCTGTCTTATTTATCCATTCAGATACAAATATCACCTTTGCTTCTCTGAGATCTAGGAAGCAAACGATGACCCTCAATAGGATTATTTATCTACTGGGGCTTTATAGAAGAAAGGTGTTTAACATAGTCTTAGGATGCCTGAAACTCTAGTAAGCGGTGTGTGTGTGTTCTGATCCCTGTCTCTATCTGTCTCCACATGCCACCCATCTCCTATGAGCCTGTTTAGCTTGTAACTTAGGTCTGCGGCTCCACATGACAGTTATTGGAAGGACACTCCTCCTCAACCTGCTTGTCTTTTGTGTTCTTCATTCTGGTTGGAACGAGTCTCTGCTCATCACTCCCTCCATGTTCTTCTGGATCATGTTGTACAATGTCTTTTTCTTGATGAGTTACAGTTTAATCCAGAGAGACAATAAAAGCCCTGGGGGTTTCATTCCTTTCATTGTCGGGTGGTGACTTTTATTACTGTGAACACATGTTCTCTAAATGCACATTACAGTAAGTTTGATATGGCTTGGGAGTTTCATAAATTTCTCCACTTTCTTATATAGGCACTGCCATGACATACTTTTATTACCATGGAAAAAATGAGAATAATTTTTAAATGCTTTAAAAATTTGTATATTTGACCTTTTCTTGATAAATCATTTGAATAATTCTTTCAATTTTATCCTCAGATCATGATAAGCCATCAGAATGTTATACATTTTGACAAAATTATCTCGACATTTCCCCTTTTCACATTCTTTGTGGAATATATTTCACCAAGTAGAATTTCATATTTTTATCCTGGGCTTTGAGTCATGAGTAATTATAAAAATGGACATGTTCCTTTACTTACGGGAATGCTAAGAACAATTACCATCCAAAACATAGAGAGTATTATTGACATCTGAGATAACTATGGTATTGTAACTAATTTTCTTTCTAAATAGTATAGAATAAAGGAGAATACTTCAAAGGAACATGGCAACCTAATCTCTACCTGCTCTCTAGTTTATTTCTTTATGTATCTGATCACACAACTGATAGTTTGCTATTTTTTTAGTCATATAGACAAGTGACATTTGGATAACCTGCCATTCATTACCTTGTCTCTTTCACACAGTTTGGCTACCCTTTTAATAGAGCACATTTTCTTTGAAACTATTAGAATGTTAATGATCAAGTTTAATATATAGACCAGGTACATTCCTGAACTTTGGGCCAGCTGGGCTAATTTCTGTGATTAGAAAAATCAATAAGCAGAATTTTAAGAGATCCCAATGAATATGATCTATGTACTTTGTTTTTGACCATAGCCTGGTCAAAATTTTGAGTCAAATTTTTGATTATGGTCAAATTATATTTGAGATGCTCAATACAGCAAAGAATAGCAGATTAGATTCCTTTAAAAATAACCTGTGTGGTAAAATCAAAATTAATTTTTATCACCTGAAACAAAACTTGAGAACTATTCTGTGGGCAAATAGAAATGAAACTATAAAACCCATATTCTGTAGGTAAAAAGATACATTGATGGTAAATATTTAATACTCAATTAAAACTTTTAAAGTCATTCAAGTGATATTTTTTAGTAAGACAGAATGTAGAAGATATAAATAAGAACATTTTATGTAGATATACTAATATTCTAGATATAAGCATAAATATTTTGGCATGCATTTTATATTATAAAATATGTGTTATTAGTTTGCTAGGGCTGCCACAACAGATGACACAAATTATTTGACATAAATAACACCAAAAATATTTCTTGTAGTTCTAGAAGTTAGAAGTTCAAAATCAAGGTGTTAGGAGATTCAAGTTAAGTCACACATATTTATTTTAAAGCTACCTTTCTATTTATAACCATCATAGGGAAGGTCTTTCCATAATGGGAATAAATTTTGACCAAAACAATGTGTTTAGGGAGCACACTATTATTGCATGTACTTATTTTAAAAAACGAATTGAACCACTTTCTCTTGGTGTCCTGGTTACTTTGCTTATTTTGGTGAGGCAAAATACCTGATGTCCAAGATGAAGGAAGGAAAAATTTATTTAGCTTACAGTTTTTTGGAGGTTTCAGTCCATACCCAGCTGATTTCAAGGCAGGGTGACATGGCTGAGTGTTAACCTTTAATGGTAGCTTCAAGTGACAACAGACAAAAGGACAAAAAGGGGGAAAAATGGATAAGCACACTGCTTCCTTCCCTCCCCCTGAATGGGTGCAGCACTCACACAGCCAACCCAGAACTAGACAATGAACCAGTCACAAATGCTAGAGTCAGCTGCCTTCGAAAGGCTCACCTGCTATGATGGCATGAGGCTTTGGGGGTACATTTAAACCCAAACCATAACACTTGGGTTACTCTTATAAATGATTTTAATTTCTTTTTCTGCTATTTTAAATATTGCTTCAATGGATATTCTTATAATAAGATATTTACATGAGCCTAAATATGTGCATAGCTTAATTTTCTTGAAGTTAAACTTCTGAAATAGAATACTTCAACAGTGTTGGATGAGTTTCATCAGATTACCAAAATAATGTACCTATTTAAATACACATGAGCAGTATAGAAGATTCACATTTCTTCCTCCAAATTTCACTAGCATTGAACATTACCATTGAAGAATCAATACTTTGATAAAATATGCTTTTGTGTTTGAATTTATATTTCTTTGATTACTACTGTCATTGAGTTCCTTATTCATACATTTATTTATCTATCATTTCTGTTTCTTTTGCTAATTATCTGTCTTCTGTCCATTTGAGAGTAACTTTCTATGACCAAAATTTACTTCATTTAACCATTTTATGTAGAATTTATTTTATTTTGCTTAAGTTGGTTCCAACATAGTATACTGGATAATCATTTCTATAATGCAATGTCACATTTTGGGCTCTCAATTTTTCTTCTCTTCCTTATACATTTTAATACATTTACATGTTTGAGCTTATTATATGTACATATTTATGTTTATTAGTATAAAAATATAAATATTCTTCTATTTACAAATTATTCATTATGCATTTAATTTTACATGAATTCAAGACTGTACTAGTTTTCCAAACAGAATAATTCAAGTTAGTTTTCTTTATAGCAAATGTTTATGTAGATCTAGGATTGGACTTTGGTTTGTAGCACTCAGTTTAGGACTGTTTAAAATCTTGCCCCACCTTTTTTATGCCAGTAGAGGAGATGCTTATGTAATTATCAACATGACCCTGCATAGTTAAACAAAATATTATTGGCACCTAGATGGTTAAACATAAGCTTTCAGTTTTACAAAGGAGTTTAATTTTATTCTTTTCCTTGCAATTACTCTTAAACTTATTCTACTTTTCTGCCAAATCAGACTATCTTGAGTTATTAGCATAGAATGTCTGATATTAATGTATTACATTTTCTTCCTAGTTGTAAGTAAAATCTTTAAAGATAATAGAATTTGAAATAAGGTGGCTTGTTTTTAAAGATAAACCATTGTATTGGTATTGGGAATGTAGTTCTGGAAGTCATATACTCCTCGCAGCATATTAAATGCTCTTAAGTTTTAAAAATGTGACTGTAACGCAGGACATTTTCATCAGGCTCTTCCCTCTCAATTTTTTTTCAGCTATACCCTGGCAAATATTTGTGTATCTTGCTTGGCAAGGGCTTCCCCAACTGTTCATGGCTCAAAGTAATGTACTTCGGGTGTTTCTTCCATGTCAATAGCACCTCATTGCACTAATTTTTTCCTTTTAATCAGCAACTGCTATACTAGATTATGAGTCCATGAATACTGAGGCTGTACCTAAGTTCAGCATTACAGACCTAGCATTGGCATAATATGTGGCAAAAACCAAACAACTGCCATCTAATCATGTGGTAATATTTTACATGAAGCCAAATATCTGATGTCAATTAAATAAGAGATCTTAACTTCTTTGTGGCATAAGAGTGTGTGTGTGTGTGTGTGTGTGTGTGTGTGAGAAGTGATGGTGTCAAAGGTGAGGAATCTATAGTTCCCTCTGCTCTGAATGATGAATCTCCATGTGCCTAAATGAATTATAGCATCTCTGCCCTTCAATGCCAGGGAAACAGCCAGAGGGTCATGTATTTTAGTAGTGTCCTTAGGTAAAAAGCCAGAGCCTATTTTTTATTGGAGAATTTTGTACATTCAAATCAATACAGTGTGTGATAGAAAAATGGGGATTGTTCAAATTCAAAAAAGAACGACTAGGGTAAAAGACACATTGCCATCAATGCTCCTCAAAATACTTCTCCTTTCCTTGAACACATGTGTTTTATTTTTCTTACCACTTCTAAAACTATTCTGAAAGTTCTCTTTTGTGAGAGTCGTGAGCTGTGATGTGGCTGAGCCAATGTCCTGAATCAGTTCAGAACTCCTACCTTTCACGGTCATGCTGCGGGGACGCACCAGAAGTGTCCAGTGCTGAAATCACTGGATGAAGTGGGTGAGGACACTCATAATGCTTTTGTGAGTCTGGCTTCCTTGAACGTCACTTGGCAGCAATCTATTTTTTATCAGGGCCCATTACGACTCTCACGAAAGAAGACCTCCAGAACTGCTTCAGAAAGTTACAAAAATAGTGGGATAGGTGTGTTCAAACTTAGTGTTATGAGAGGATTAGTGGCTTTTAATACATTTTAAAAGTTTCAACATTTGCCACATATTGGGATCATGTCTTGTAGGGAGCTTTGCTATATTTCAACAGTAGTCACCTCTTTTCTTCCTGCTTTCCCATTGTAAAGCCACTGAGGCACTTTTATGAAAGATCTGTGAGTTTATGTGGGGCCAGGTTTCATGCTGGTATACTGCAGATGCCTCTGAATTTTATGTTCTTTCTCATTATTGTAGATCTATGCATACGTCTTTGAAAACATCAAGTCTGTCCGACTGGAAGCACTGCTCTTATCCTTGCTGAGTATCGTAGTTCTTGTTCTTGTTAAGGAGCTGAATGAACAGTTTAAAAGGAAGATTAAAGTTGTTCTTCCTGTCGATTTAGTTTTGGTAAGTACGAAATCAACATCTAGCTTTCTGCAGTACTTGGCCTGCCTGTTGGAGTAATCCACAGATGCTTACTGTAGCGCCTGCAGTAACCCATAGCTTCTCCTGTGTCTCATTAAAGAAGGGCTAATTTGCGTAGCTATACATTAATGTAAGAACAGGAAACGTTTTGAATCCATAATTTAAAAAAGGAGGCACACATGTTTTCAGTTTATGCAGCATTTCTCATATGCTTTTAATCTTTTATATAAATAAGAGAATAAAAAGCCTAAGTACATATTTATAAAGGTGAGACTCAAAAGATCTCTGGCGTGATCCTATATAAAGCAATAAAATGTGATAACACATCCTATTGATATGACACCTCTTTGATATGCACAGAAATATCAATTGCAAATGTCCATGGATGTTTGTTCAGCTTTTGTTACTGACTTAATTTTGCCTCACCAAAGGGAGGCTCATGATTTTCATCAGTTAGAGGTGGCTCTTTAAAATATTTTTGTTGTGTTTGGAATATCAATGTATTATACCTTTTTCTTAAGGCTTGTGGTATTAAAATCTATGTTTTGAAATTTTAGGAGCCTTTAACAGTAGCTCTTAAAGTAGTCAAGTGAAAATGAAATGTTAGTACAACCAATATTAATTTGCTTTCGTTTTTAAATGGTTTTTATGTTATATATGTATATTATAAAGAGTATCTAAATAATTCCATCTATTAAATACTATGCACATTGTTAAATACTGTAGGTCTATGTCCATTTATTAAGAGTGAAACACTGAAATCTGCTTCTGAAGCATACAACATATTTCTTTAGATCTAATATAAAAGATCTCTCTATGGCTAGCCAGTGCATGGAAATATTTTCCTGACAGTTGGTTAGGATACATATAACATATGTAGTCTCTGTGTGTATGTATTTCAAATATGTTAGAAAAGCACAGAGTACTATGTAATTTGTTTTCATAGAAACAAAAAACTCTGAAATATACTATCTTATTTTAAAGTGCAGTTATGTAAGTTTCATAAAACCAGCACTGAAAGCAAACTTAGGGAGAAAGGCCTTTATGCTCTTAATAAAGCAGTTGTTCTCTGAAAAATGAGTAGGAATTGTTCTTAAAACAAGTATTCTTTATAAATTGTGACAATTGCAAGGACCAGGCTAAAGCACCAATAGAAAACTAAATACTTAAAAGACAGAATAATGAATAAAACAACCTCTGATTTTTTACATCAACTGTTGTATCTAACCAATGACCAAGAAAAAAAAATCAGATTAGGTAGAAAATTCTTCTAGTCCTTTGAGTTCTCTCAGAATGGAACCAACCTCTAGGTTTGCTCCTTCCCTTCCCACTCCAGCTTATCCCACTGTGCTAATCACCTTTCCTGGTGCTGGACAAGATAAACAGAAAGTACCTGCATCTTACAGAAGGAGAGCTTTAATTTGGCTTACAGTTTCAGGCCATGATCAGCTGGCTCTGAAGCAGGAACATCGTGACAGAAGGGTGTAGAGGAGCACAGCTGCTCAGTTCCCAGAGGCTGCAAAGCACAGCAGGGAACAGTGGCCCAGAGGAAAAGGAGAAGCACAGGATCCCAAGGTCACTCCATCCAGATATACCCAGAGAGTTCTTTACTAACCTAGCAGCTCCCAATCCAATCAGTTGCCAATTAAGAACTATCTCACATCCCACCCATAAGGGATTCACATGTGAATATCCTTGACCTAGGTCTAAACTCCAAACACATCCTCCACTCCACCACAACCTTCCCTTGGCCTTTCTTGGGACATGAGGAAGATGCCTTAGAAGCAGGCTGGGGGCCATTCGGGCCGATATTGATAGATAGATCCCTGTGTATTCAGGATCAGCAAGATTGGAGCAGATTTGAGTTGGACACATCCTCCTGCTCTCCAGAGTTCCCATCTCAGGGGAATGATTGCTTACTTTTAGCTTGTGATGCTTTTAGCTTACTTTTAGGTTGTGTTACTTTACTTTTAGCTCAGTGGCATAGTGCCTGGCTGGCAGACTTGAGGTTTGGAGTTTGATTCCTGGTATCAAAAAAAAAAAAAAAAAAAAAAAAAAGTTAAAGCACAAAATTCAAAAATATTCAAGGAGTGTGTAAATCATCATTAATTAGTAACATAGTTAGGAGAGTGGATGTAATATCTCAAATTCTGAAGAACCTATCATAAAGGGAAAATGTCTGGTCTTCGGAGGTATTCCTTCATGTCATGAAAGACAAGTATTTAGGTTGTATATTGTATTCTTTACACACACACATGCAACTCCCCAAACCCATATTTAATATTTTGTTTTCTTTCAAAACTGGGTTGATATAGAATATTGAAAAAGCCATATTGCTTGATATTGACTAAATTTCAGATTATAAATTATTAAAATAAATTTAAAATGTTTGAAAGGTCGATAACAAGTCATTTTTCTTTTTTTCAAATGGAAATACACAGATCATTGCAGCATCGTTTGCTTGTTATTGTACCAATATGGAAAACACATATGGATTAGAAGTAGTTGGTCATATTCCAAAAGGGTAATGTAATCTTTTTCAATATACTTGCTGTTTATCTGTTTGTTGGTTTGCTTGTTTTTAATGGAGGATGAGACTAGAGTAAGTAGATATGTATTTATTTTTTTCTGTGTTTATAAGAGACAAAATTCTAATTGATTTCTATTATACAATGCTTAAAAATACATTCATGGAGAAATAGTAGTTTCCTAGGGACAGCTCCATGTGTCTAACTTAGTAAAAGGGGAATTACTTATCACTAAGTAAATTGGTAAGTGTTTTATGTAGTATACTTCAGGTGAAAAAGTTGGACAATATTTACAAAGATATTTGAAAAAATTGAGGGCATTGATTTTGCAAATTAGAAACATTGTCTGGAAATTGGTAACTGCAATTCTTTCCACATATGAATTTTTTTTTTTTTACTTGACTGAGGATAGAGGTAAACAGGCATCTGAACTAACAAGCCCACAGGGTGTGTTTAATTGCCAAAGAGATGGTGAAGTGCAAAAGTCAGGGGTCCTCACCTTCATGGAGCCTTGCTCTGGATCCTAGTGAGCCATTAGCAAAGGAGCCATTAGCAATCCTGAGGGAAAAAGTCATTCCAAATAGAACTGAAAGAAAACAAAGGCAAAATTATGGATTCATTTTAATGGACTATGTATACTGTACAGATACATTCAGAACAAAGTTAACAGTTGTTGGATTCCCTAAATTTTTATTGTCCAACCTCCAGTTCTGGCTTTTAACAACACTAAACTCCAGAAACAGTAGAAAAATTCTCAAGAATTAAAAAAGGTAATAGTAAAAAATTCTGTCTGTATTAGGTTAAATTTATGCTAATGATGACTTTTAAATCAACTTGAGTTTCTCTCTATTGTTTTATTTTAGTCAGTTTGTTCTTAGGTCAATTTGTAGTAGTTAGGCACACTCAATTTTCATGAAACAAAGTTCTACTTTGAAAGAGTTTAGAGCATGTGATCATATAATAAATCAATTTGTCTTGGGGATAAACTTTAGCGAGTGTATTAGCTTTCCCATTGTTGTGACACAATACCAAACACCCACACTATAAAGAGGAGACATTTAACTTGGCTCATGGCTGCAGAGGATTCACTCCATGGCAGGCTGAAACATTCTGGTGGAATGACATGACAGAGCAGAGATACTTAGTTTACGGAGGCTAGGAAGCAAAGCTTAGGGGGAACAGTACCTACAAGGAAGGAGTGAGGGACCATACACAGTACCCAAAGTCACGTTTCTATGATCCACCCAGACACATACTCTCTAAGATGTACTCAGAAGTGTGTGGTCTACCAATCGTCTAAGCAGACCCGAGAGCCAATCAAGTTGGCCGTGATAGTGGGTTTAAAAATCCCCCTCTAGTTCTCCTTTATTTTGAGTAATTGTTCTCGAGCCATCCTCATAAAGAATCACAAAATGAGCGTGACTTTAAAAGTAATGGAACAGAGATTGAATCTTAACTCAGTCATTCATTCCTTTTGTGATTTTAGATGAGCTACCTAATCTTTCTTAAAATGTTTTCTTCTCCATACAGTGGTGATGATGGTGCTTGCTGGTTGAATTAAATGAAGTAGCCAGAAAGAAAGCTCTAGCATTCTACTTCACCAACATTCTTTTTGTCATAGGGATTTTTTTTTTTTTTTTTAGTTTTATTTTTGGTAAATCTCCTAGGGAATCATCAGGATACATAAATGATGATTCTTAGGCTTAAAGCGGTTTTCGAAGGACAACCAGACAATGGCTGAGCATTATTTTAGAAACCTTTTAAATAGTTATCCGAGACAGAGAAACAGCCTAGTGTGGTCCTGTGGTTTGCAAGAGAGTTGGAATCTTTCTACATAGTTTTCTTAACATATGTAAGCTATGGTTAAGTGTACTGTGAAAGAATTGTGTTAAAACTGCAATTAAGATAATGAACTCAATGACAAATTTAGAGATTAGCTCAAGAATTGTAGCGCACAGTAATGTTTGCATATAGTACTGTTGTATCCAAGAGAGAAAATACAGTTCAAATGCCAACCAAATAAATATTTGGAAATGTTTGAATGAAAGCACATTCCAGATCTGCTTTTGTTTCTCATAAGGGAAATTTTTGTCAAGTCAAAATTTCTTCAGTGTAACTTGAATTCTCTAATACAAATGCCACTTAGAGCGTGGAGCTGTCCCTGGGGTGTTTCTTATAATTTTGTTTTTCTGCTGAATGATGTTGAAAACAAAAGGCTTCTCAAGGCCAAGCTGCCAGGTTTTCTTCTGGATAGTTCACTTATTTTATGCACATTTTTACAGAAACGACATGAAGGCTGATCTCCTGTATGGTATTTCTCTCCACAGAATTCCTCCACCCAGCATTCCCCCAATGAACCTCCTGTCTGCAGTAGTTACCGAAGCTTTTGGAGTTGCTCTTGTAGGTTATGCAGCCTCACTGGCTCTTGCTCAAGGATCTGCCAAAAAATTCAAATATTCAGTGGATGACAACCAGGTGGAGTGTGCCATGGCCCCTTTTCACTCCTGTCCTATCATTGCCCTGCGTGCTTTTCAGATTTTGAAGAGATGAACTTTTGAAAAATATGGCTTTGCTTACTATGGCAAGAATGGGCGGAACAAAACACATCAATTCATAATACTTTTTGTTATTTTTAAGGAAAGACAGATGTTCTTTGGTTTGTTTTTAGGAGATGATGAATTCAAATGTATTTATCATTGCACGCTAACTTCAGAAATTATGGATTTCATGTTAGAAACGTTTTATTTTTCTCAATAAGATACTGAGGACAAGAAGCCTATATAAGTACACAGATCATATTGTTTTTCTCCTTGAAATGTTTTTGCCAGTGTCTTGCTTGAAGCCTTGCAGCCCTCTGAGTTGTACAGGTCTGAAGAGAAACCGCTATATCATAGTCATGAATGCTTAGCTACTTGTGTGCAAACCTCATTCTGATACTAGCCGACCTTGATGCCTCTCTGTCTGTTTTCTCATCTGCAAGAAAAAGATTATTCATTGCATGTGTTGCAGTGGGCCATACTATGTGCCAGACACTGGCCCGGGCACAAGGGCACGCTGGCAAACAACACAAGTCCTATCTTTCTTCCTCTTGCAACTTCCACAGTGGCCTCCCACAGTAGTCAAATTAAAGCTTCATTATCATGGCTTATAAGACTCTGTGTGCCAGGCCACTGTCTCATTTGCTTTCTGACTTTATTTCCCTTTGGTTCGCCGTTCTGCATGTGTGTACCACATAGTTTTCTCTTGAATTCACAAGTCTCTGTTCTGACTCAGGGCATTTGTGCTTCTTCCGTTTTCTGTTCTCTCAGATCGCTTCTTCCCTCCTTTATTCAAATGCTTTGTTAATCTAAAATCATAAATTCCCGATTTCCCTTGTTCTCCTCTGCTTTACTTTGCATGTTTATTGTATTTATTGTGCGTGTTCCTACTACACAACCACAGAGGAGGAGTGCAAGGATATTTGTTGTGCTTGCTGACAACAGAAGCAGACAAACTGTTAGGAAACTTTTTAATGGTTCAGGTGAGAGCTGGTACCTTAGATCAGAGCGTAGTGATAGAGGATGTGAGACGTGAGTGGGTTCTGAACTAGATGTGGATGCCATCTGGGCAAAGTCAGGGTGCGAATCAGGAGTAAGTCTAATGCTCTGGGCCTACGCAACTGGAACTTGAGATGAGCCGGAACCTGAGAGTGCTGGGATGGGGAGGTAGAGCTCCAAAGCTTGGGTTAAGAAGGTTGGAAAATCTGTTAGTCATCAAGTCAGGGTGCTAAATATTAGCATCTACATGGCTGTATGATTCTGAAGTTCACAGAAGTGACCTAAACTGCAGATATAAATTTGGGAGTTGTCAGTACAGAGTTGGGCAGCTACAGTGTAGATAGAGAAGAGAAATGGTCCAATGTTTAAAATTGGTTAGATAAGAAAAAAAACCACTAAGGAGACCGAGAAGAGACGCCAGCCAGTGAGACAGGGCGACAGCAGAAGAGTGTGAGGTCCTAGACATTAAGTGAAGGAACTTTTAAAGAAGAATTAATTAGCAACTGTATGAAAGATTTTTAGATCAGGTAAGATAAGAATTAGGCATTGAATGTTGCCCGGTGGAGGTCATTAGAATGTTGGAAATAAAAACTCGATTATAGTGCCTTAAACGATTGAGGACACGTTGAACAATGACAGCACAAATATTTAGTGTTTCCTTATAAGAATGCTATGAGTACTGGAAAAGTATAGTGTTTAGTTAGTTTCTGGCTTACTATAAGCACTCAGTAAATGTTTACTATTTTCCTTTTAATTGTTAAATCTCAGTTGGTGAGCAGAACAGAAATTGAATACTGACAAGTTTCATTCTTTCATAAGCTGTACTTGTGGAATCTAAAAGCCCGCTGTGGTTACAAAACGGTATATTCTCCTGTTATCAATCTTGCAGGAATTCTTGGCCCATGGCCTCAGCAATGTGATTCCTTCGTTTTTCTACTGTATCCCAAGTGCGGCTGCCATGGGAAGGACCGCTGGCTTGTACAGCACGGGGGCAAAGACACAGGTAACTGGGCTTCCCAGCAGGGTTGGGCGGACAAAAGCCACCACTCTCATCCGTGGACAGTAGGAAGAACGCAGTTCTCTATAAAACCCTCAAAATAGTTCCATTTCTTTACAGTTTTCTTAGTAGTTTAAAGAAATGCCTCTCTCCACTTCTTTCTTTCTCCTCTAACTCTCTCTGTGTCTCTCTCCTTTCCTACAAATGGCCCTTCCAGAGACTGGGTGATTGTTGAGTGACTGATTCAAGGAACAAACCTAACTCTACACAAATAGCACTTGTATTGTTAGCAACCATTGAAACCAAAGCTCCCTCTAGTGGTGCCTCTGATTTTTTCCATTAGTTATAGTCAATTTTATCACTTCTTTGCAATAAAATGAAACCATTTATATGCAAAACCAATCCTTATTACTGAAATTATTGCCTATAGAGATCTACAAGTGTGTAAGTGTGGCATCGATGTCTATGAGCTATTTGGATAAAGAACTATTTCTTGCCTTTTCTTAGGAATCCAAATTACTTGGATGCTTATTGAAAGCCTTAAAGGAGGAGATATCTACTTTGGTTCATGGTTTCAGTTGCCGGTCTGCAGCTCCAAGGTGGAATGGCATGGTTGGAGGGAGGGCCAGGGTGGAGGAAAGCTACTCGTGTCGTGGGGCCGGAAGCAGAAAGAGAAGGGAGGAACCGAAGAGAAAAATACAGCTGTTTGCGTCGTACACTCAGTGACCCCTTCCTCCAATCAGATCCCACTTCCCAGCATAAAGTCAAGTATAGCACACCATAATCCAATCACCTCCCCAAACCCCACCTCTGAGCATATGAGGAACTGGGGGGGGGGCTTCCAATCGAAACCATATCACATAACTGCCATGCTCGGTTTCTGATGAGACAGGGGAGGTAAGGAAGGGTGAAGTTATGTACCCAGGTGTCAGAGCTACTGTGCAGGAGAACTAGAATGTGAATCCAGATAGGTTTACTCCAAGCCTTGACCTCTCACCCATTGTTCCAAACAATAAAATTCATGTGTATCATGTCATAAGAAATTAACAATAATAGTTACTCATTTTTCAAACATTTCCTTTTTAAAATAGGATACAATAGGAATAAGAGTTTCTAAAACATGTTATGTGCTAATTCAGACATCTATTAGGGGTAGATCCTGAATTAACTGCTTTTATTTTCAGTTTGTACTAAAATAAATCTGAAAAGTGTACAGCTTGTGACCTCAGGAACAATTGGCAAGAGAAATATGTGTAAATCAATACTAAAATGGGGCTCAGACATGTAAATGCACTGTTAAATGGAAGAGAAAGAGTAAGAATTTTGAATGTATTATCATTTGACAAGCTATTAGCTAATATGTGAAATCCACATGGAAATTTTGTTTATACGGCAAGTAATTTGAGATACCTTTATAGTTAGTGATTTCAAGTATAGGTTCCTCATATGCATTGGCTTAAACTTTTTTGCCTTTAGAATTATCTATTTTTTAGTACATATTAGAAATTCAGAATAATATAGAGTTCATTTGGTAAAATGATATGAGAATAAAACATACTTTTGTTATTTTGACTCCATTACCACCTTCTCACGCTCTCTCATTATCTTCCTTATTAATAATCATTTGCTTCCTGCTTTACTATCTTTTTTCATTTTTTGATTACTCATATAAGAGAACACATGTGATATTTAACTTTCTAAACCTGGTTTATCTCACTTAACATGATGGCTTCCAGTTCCATCCATACTCCTGCAAATGGCACAACTTTCTTCTTCTTTTTTAAAAAAGTCCTTTATTTGCTCTTGCTTATGAGGCAGGCCCTTGTGCTGTTGAGCTATATCCCTGGCCCCACATCTGCCTTTTTATGTCTCAGTAATATTCCACTGTGTGCAAATGTCACTTTTCTTTAGTTGTCTGTTGACAGACATCCTGATTGTTTCTACAGCTTAGCTATTATGAATTGTGCCACAATAAACATGGGTATGAAAGTATGTCTTTAATGTGCCATCTTTAATTCTTTTGGGAATATACTGAAGAGTGACATAGCTGAATCAATGGCCTTTCTGTTTTTAGTTTTTTGAGAAATCTCCACACTAATTTCTATAGAGACTGTGTTAGTTTACATTCCTACCAATAGTGTAGAAAATTTCTTAGCCCTTCCAACACTCTCACCAATATGATTATTTCTTCCCCTTCTTTGGCAATAGTGAGGATTGAACCAGGACCTTTGCATTAAACTACATTCCCAGTCCCTTTTGAAAAAATTTTATTTTGAGACAAGGTCTTCTTAAGTCACAGAGTTGCCCAGCTGGACTCAGACACGCAGTCCTCCTGCCTCAGTCTTCCAGAGTGCTGGGATTACAGGTGGGTGCCACGCCCAGCTTTTTGGATTCTTGATGATGTTAGCCATCATGACTGGAGTGTCACAGCATTGAAGTATAGTTTTGATTTCCATTTCCCTAATGGCTGACAATAGTGAACATTTTTACATATCCTTATTGGCTATGTATACTTCTTTTTCAGAAGTGTCTAGTCAATTTATTTGACCATTTACATGATTCATGTTAATTATTTGAGTTCCTTATGTATTCATTTTTTGTCATAGTTTGATTTTGGGTCTTCATTCTATGTTATTGGTCCACATGAAACCTTCATTGGTCTGTCTTTACCAATTAATACTAAGCTGATTTTATTACTGTGGTGACATGAACATTTTTGCAAAATGTACTCTCAAATATTTATGATGTAAATTTGAAGACTTAAACAGTGAGTGTATTTAAATGCCTTCGTCTATTCTGAGAAATCTCCATATAACCCCCTGATTCTATAGTAGCTTCTACCTGGATTCTCAAAAACGAGAATGTTAGGTTTCTTTTCTTCATGGTGAGGCTTAATAGAGATACTAAAAGGTTAAGAGAATGAATTGTAGAGCTACACCACTAATCACTGGGTGACTCTGCACAAGTGACAAAACCTCTCAAGCTTAAATGGACTCATCTGTTAAAGCAGACCACAGAATTATAAGAATGAAATGAACTGGTTAAGGTGTATTTATTATGTGCAATGTCTGAAGACTAAATGAATGCCCTTTAAATGTTAATGATTATCATTGATTTTTATTATGACTGCATCTTTTTAAATTAATAAATATGTTTCCAAACCTTTTATCATTTGAAATTTAAATGTCCTGATTTAATGGAATGGAGCAGGACAGTTCTGCAGTCCTACTGTCCCCTTCGACATGCAGAACGATACTGACCAATTTACCACAGTCGCTTTTCACATGAGAAGAGAAGATTGAAATAAAATCCTGAAGTATTTCCACCTTGAGTATATTCCTCGCCAGGGTTTTCTTGCATATTAATTATACTTTTATAATTGCTATTTAAGAAACAAGGAAATGCATTGATTAATCTTTGTAGGTTTCACCTTTGAATGTCTACGGGAAAGAATACTTTGAGAAAGATTACACACTTGATTTATAATCCAAGTTGGGCATTAATTTGACTAACAGAAAAGAAATAGAGGAACACCCTTTCTTTGTTCTGGAGAATATGTATTTGAATTCTTAAAATGATGTAATTTTTCTAAGAATTTATAATGTAATTTTTTTCTTTCATAGTGTTCTCATTAAACTTCCAAAGAAATGAAAGGGGGAGGGGGAGGGAGACAAAGCGTTAAGTAGAAAAAATCAGGATGTGTTATGTGCAGGTACTCACTCCTCACAGTGGCCCTGTGTGAGTACCCAGGTCCCAGTACACTGTAGGTGTGAGATCAATTTTGGCAAAATACTTCGAGTTTTGCTGACATTAGAAGCTATAAATCAAGCTCTGTAGCTTTTAGTGTCATTTAGTATAGTACATTTTAATCAGGAAAAATCTCATTTAAAACCAGGCTTAGGATCTTTAAAGTTTTATTCTATAGAAACCTAACAATGGCTACTGGATAATTAAAAGTACCTAGTAGTCAGAGTTCAAAAGATAGAAGAAACTGAAACAACTAATAAAAACTAATCTTAATACTATAGTTTACCTAATAAAGTACAATATTATAATTTTGAAATGAATTCTGAAAATTACTTAGAATACTTTTACACTCTTCTGTCTGGAGGCTTAGAAATATGGTATTTTCCATTTTCAGCTTAATTTAATATGGACTGGCCCATTTCAGATGCTCAGGAGCAACTTGTGTGGCTTTATCAGGCAGTGAACTTAGGGCTGAGTTACACCAGTGAATCAGAAAATCAAATTAAAACTTTTCAGAGGAATAACAAAAGACACCGATCATGTGATGCCAAGTATTGTGGTCAAAGACACGGCACATTTCTACCTCCCACATGTAGAAGCCTTTGTGACAGTGGTGCCTTTTAGATGTGAAATCCAAAGTCAGGCCAAGTAAGAAAGGCCTGGAGCCATCTAGACAGAGGGCGCAGGTGACACCTAGCTGCCCCTGTCCCTGTCCCTGGTTCCCTGGGAAGAGGAGGGGGCTCCGCCGCCCTGGCGCTCTCCTCTCCATGCTTCTCTTCACTTTTGACGGAGGAGGAGATGCTCCGGTGCCCCTTGGGGACCTCAGGAGGCATCTCGGAGCCGTGAGGGCTTCAGAAAGCATCTGCTGTGAGGGCGTCACAGCCGCCCCTGAAAACAACAGCTGGCGTGTTTTTCTGCAGCTCTGAGATTGCCTCTGGGTTCTAATTTGCCAAACTATGTTTCTTTATTCTTTCAAAATTTGGCTCCCTGCCTGCATCTTTTTAAACTTTAAGTCTTGCCTTAGCTGCTCTCTCTCCTTCCCCTCCCCCGCCTTCTCCCTCTCCTCCCTTTCTCCCCGTCCCTCTCTCCCTCTCCTCTCTCTGTTTGTTTCCTGTCTCACCATTCCACTACTTCCCATAAAGCTGTGCATTTAGTGAGCTGTGCTCTACCCTTTGAAAACTACTTAGGAAGGTCATGAATATTAGCTAGGGAGCTCTCGAGAGCCTGCGTGCTCCTTTTTGTAAGTGAATGTACAACATACATATTATTTAAACATAAAACAAGAAGAAAATACACATTATTTTATTAACTGTCATGTAAATCAACTCTTTTTTTTTTTTTTTTTTTGCACTGGGAATGGAACTCAGGACCTCCAGCTTGCCAGGCAGGCACTGTGCCCCTGAGCCACATCCCCAGCTGGTGAATTAACTCTTAAATATGAGTAGGTATAATTTTAAAACAAAAATTACCTGAACATTTAGTTAGTATGATATAGAAAAAACAGCTAGAAATTAGTTAGTTTGTGGATAATTAAGAATGTGAACACTTTAACTAATTAAAACCAACGTCTAACTGAAGCATTAAGAACAGGACACCTAGGTTTTGTCTTCTGAGTCACGGAAAATCAAAGAGTACTTAGAGAAAAGCATCAATGTAGTTGCCTTGAATTGTTTTTGCATAGACTTATTAATTTCTATGACAGCTTCAGTGTATTATAATATATCTAGGAGCATTAAAAACATTTGAAGTTTTACTGAGAAGCATAGCTTTGAAAAATGTCTAGTTGGTTATGAGAAACAGAAAAGCCTCACTTGGAATACCACCACACAAAGCCGTGGGCCATTCTGAGTTACCAATGCTGACAATCAAATTCATTACTTTAAAATCAGAGTCAGCATTTAAAACCAGAAGGCTGACGCTTGTCCTACTTTGACTCGTAAGAAAACTCAAGTTATGAATACAGTGAGATAAAACATATGAAGTAAATACATTTTTGGAAATCATTCAATGTGTATGTATGCATATCTGTAACATTAGAATTATCACTAACATTTTAATATGCTTATTAAAAATAAAGTAGCCATTTTACCTTGCTTTGGCACTAGGGTGTTATTTTTTAAGGAGAGGAAGGGAAAACATTTTGCTCAGGTTCTGAAGATTCCTCATCTGTGTCTGTGGTATAGGTCAGTGTTCGTCTAGCATGCACAAGGCCCTGGATCAAATCCTCAGCACTAGGAAACAAGTGATGAATTTTACTAATTTCAATCTGTGTTCTGGTGTGCTGTGTCCCCACTTGTCTGCACCTAAAGTTCCATCATCAACTCTCATTGTCAAAAGGCAGAAAACAATTCCCAATATGTAAAGAAGGGTCTAAATTAAAAATTAATCAACTTAATCCTCTGCAAATAGCCTTTATTTTTTTGGTGGTTGACTCGTATATGTTGGAGTGAATAAAAATCCAATCCAAAGAAAGTTAAAATGATGCATTGACTTTCATGAATATTGATATAGGCCAATATACATTTCATGTGGCCTTTGTGCCTTTTAAATTTTGTAATTCTATGACCTTGAAAAAGCCACATGACCTTCCTGTGGCTCAGATTCTTGGGAGGAATTTGGCTGTGGCTTAAGTTCATTACAGCTCCTAAGGCTGAGGGTTTTGTTTTTAAGTACATATTAAGTGTGTGAAGAAAAAGTCCCACAAAAAGGCATGGAATTGTCTTTTGTCTTGAAGCAAACATAGCAGTTAATGTCTTCCTCTTTCTATATAAAAATAGACTTGCTGTCAGTTCTTGGATACCTGAATGTATCTAATGATCTGCATGCCAACACCTAGATCTTTCCAGGCTAGAGGAATGGGTAGCATCTTTATTTTACTGTTTAAAAAAATTCTTAACCATGTAAAATCACTGAGACACCCTAAAATGGTTAGTATAGTGATAGTTTGGAATACTATAACCCTTTTATGAGTGATCACTGAGCAATTTTTATTTTGCATGTAGGAATTATTTCTCTCCTTTATACCATCTGAGATGTGCTGGTGATCAGTTCTACCAAGTACAGAAGAGAAGAGATTCCCTCAGCCTTTGCCAACATGGCAAGGCCTGTCCTAAAGGCTGTTTGAATGACCTGTTAGCTGAATAATTGTAGCTTCTCCCCCCATACCTGTCCTTTCTCTGCACATGTACTGTTCAGCAAAACCAAATTCAGGATGAGTACCAATGCTGAGCCGATTCTGGACATGTATACGTATATACAAGCAGTTGTTACAAACAACATATTCAATCACTTTTTGAAAAACTAAGATTTACACAGGTATATTTAAATGTAATAAAGTCATTCTTTTTGGTTTTATAGATCACTTTGTTTGAAAGGTACATTATTGTATTACCACAAATATAATCAAGATAGAAAACAGTTTTACTCCTCCAAAAACTTTAATGCCCCTTTGTAGTTAATGCTCTGCCACGCCTGCCAGCCTTTGGTATCTCACATTTTTATTTGTATTTAGATTGATAGCCTTTTAGATCTAGCTTCCTTCACTAACTTAAAGTTTTTAATTTTCATCACGTTCTGTTACCTAGGAGTGTTCTACTGTATGGGTGTGTCACAACTGGAGGACTTCTCCAACATGTAAATATTTGGTGTAATGTAAATATTTAGGTATAAATATTTATGTGCAGAAATTCACATGGGCACGTGTTTTTATTTCTCTTAGGAGTCCTTCCCTAAAGTAAGTGAGTAAATAGCTTCACCAGCAACTGCCAAACTGTTTTCAAAGTGTTTGTTTCTGACTGTATTATGAACTGCAATCCCGAGAACTCCAGTTGCTCTGAGTCCTTGCCAACTTTTGAAACTGATTGTTCATAGATATACTTTTAATGTAAGCCATTCTGCTAAGTCTAACCTCGCTCTGACATCTCCATAATTATGGTCTAGCTATATTTGCAGCCCCATCAGGCTTTTTTCTCTTGTTAGAATGACAGCTTGCCTAAATGTTTTCAAGAAGCTGTGAGCATTTGCTTTTGTGAAATCAGGTTCTTCATCAGAGCATGGTTATAAAGTCAGGTGTTTTGAATTGCCCTTTGTCAGCAGGCTGAGTGGGTTAGAACATGACCCCAATGACTCTTCAAGGTGAATAGAATTAAGTCTCTTTCATTGTCAGATACAGTGTCTATAATCTCACATAATCACTTCATAACTAAAGACCCTACTAACATTGTCATCAACACAGGGAAACTGTAAGCTGCCTATTTAGTTACTCCCTAAAAAATCCCTTTGTGAAATATGGAGGTTAGGGATTTAGCTTGCTGCCATAAGCACGGCTCAGCAGCATGAAGCTGAAGAACTTCATTGAGATGTTGCTTTTGCTATTCAACAGCAGAAAGCCGTCGCTGCACTGTGTGATAAAAGTTGATGATGTCCTGTTCCTTTGTGCAGAATTGCTTTTTTCTCATCACTGACTTAATTTGATCACACCACTTTGTCAGCTGTCATGTTTGGCCTCCCACAGCTGCAAAATACAGATAATGACAGTCTATGCCATTTGGCAATGATGTGACAACATTGTGTTTCTGCTAATCAAGATGAACTAAGAATTGCCCCTCACCACCACCACCCATACCTTTGGAATAATAAAAACTTCAAGGCCTTCTGTTTTGTCTGTCTTATATTTTGCAGGTGGCTTGTCTAATATCTTGCATTTTCATCCTTATAGTCATCTATGCAATAGGACCTTTGCTGTACTGGCTGCCCATGGTACTGTAATTCCCTTTTTCACTATCTACTTTTTAATACCACTTTAAATAAGAATTACTGCATATAAATTTCTAGAGGAGGATAAATTCAATAATCCTGAACTTGAAAACTATCTTATATAAGTAAAAGTTGAATCAGGGGAGGGGTGAAAAGATGACACATTTGAGGATGGAGGACACTGTAGTGTCTTCTAATTCTTCATCTCACATACGGAAAGGGTAACGTAGAGTTAGGATTATTCTGTGCTGATTTAGAGAGTGGGACCAGAAATATTTTGCTGTAAAAGATAGATTTGGGATTTGGTGATGTAGCACAGTTGTAGAGTACTTGCCTAGCATGCCCTATGACGTGTTAGGTTCATATCTCACAGCATGCCAAAACAAAACAAAATAAAAGAGAACGAGGCCTGGGATTTAGCTCACTGGCATAAGTGCCTCCCTGGCAAGCACCAGGTTGTGAATTTGATCCTGGTACAAAAAAACAAGAAAAGAAATTCCATTAAAGGAAAAGAAAAAGTAGACATTAGAAAAATTTTATTAGAAATTATTACCAGCAGAATAGGAAACAAAACACCTTCCTACCCTTGATGTGTCCTTCATATGGACTCAGAACATTAGTATCAGTGGTTCACTTTGCTCTTCAAACATTCCAGGCACACACATGACCTGAGTGAAGTTTCTGGTCCTAAACGAATCAGTCTTGACCATTTGTTATTTTAGTGCTTCACTTGTACTGTGAGAATATATCATTTCACAGAATGATCTTCTAATAATGAAGTTAACTTTTCAAAAGACATAAATATCTTTAGGCAAAAACCAGATAATTGATATTCAAGGCAATTATAAAGAAATGTATGACATAAATATGTGTTTTTCTGCAACAAACAAATTTCAACCAAATGACAGTGAATAATTACAGTTAAGGGGACCTTTAGTCTTTGGTATTCGCCCTTTAATTTACTACTTTTCCTTTTATTTCTGTCTTTTTTAAAGAATTGTATATAATTTAACCTGTGATTTCCCATATCTGATATTATATTTTTAAAGTACAAAGAGATAATTCTAACTAAAACAAATATTACTTTAGTTTTTAAATTGATGGTGCTTTTCTCCAGCATTCACTTTAAAAACAAAGAAGAAACAAAAATACCTTGATCCTTTTAAATTCAGATTAAAATCTTTGTCTTGCTGCTTCCTTAACTTATTTTTTTATTTGTAGTGTGTTCTTGCAAGCATTATTGTTGTGGGACTCAAGGGAATGTTAATACAGTTCCGAGATTTAAAAAAATATTGGAATGTGGATAAAATTGATTGGGTAAGTAGAAATTTGATCAAGATTTTTCCTCTTGTTTAAGCATGCATCCCCATAAATTTAATACATTTATTTGTAGAAAATGGGTTTAGCCATTTGAAACTTGTTTACTTTAAAAACTCAACTTATTGTTTTAAACATCTTAATAAAAGCATTAAAATATGTCTTTACCAGAAACAGACTTTTGTTAAATTCTGATGGATATGGAGTTTGAGAACTTTTGGAGAAAGGCTCATTAGTTTGAGTGGCTTGGGAATACAATTTACATTACAAATTAATTCTGGAAACAAATTTCATCAGTAAATGTACACTAGCAGGAATATGATAATTTATAGTATGCATGAAAAAATAGTCTTAACTAATAATGGGTGCTACATGAATATAGGGTAGACATCTTCGTGGTGGCTACACTCATTCTAAATATTAAAAAAACATGAATTTTTAAAATTGGGTTTCAATGACGGGATAATGTTAACAGAATATTGCTGAAAACAAATTAAATTATACAAAATAGCAATAAAATGTGGTTTTAAGTAACAGAAATGTTTAACATTCTAGAGAAATTCCCCTATGTAAGAGCATCCAAAATCTCCCTCTCCTGTATGGATGAAGTATTTCATGAGTAGTAAAACATAATGATCTGTGCATTGCCTTTCCATCAGACCCTCTGTTGTGTGTGGATTTGGGGGATTATTTTTTTGGTCCTACTTTCATAGCACTGCTCCTGAAGCTGAATACGACTGATCTCCTACCAAAGTAAATACTGTGTGTCATAAAGAATATAGACACGAATAGACAGCCCCTGTCCTTTCAGACCTTTCATTACTATTTGTTCAGGGAGCATGCACAGAAACACTAATTTATTATACAAACATAATACAACATGACCCAGAAGTAAAAATACAAACAGTGCAGGAGAAAGTAGAAAGAAGGACATTCATTTTTACTGATTAATATCAGGCACTCACAGCAGAGTTGAAGTAGATGAACTGAGACTTAAATGGTAACTACTGGATAGACAGACCAAAATAAAGCAATTAGCCAGGCTGAGGCAGGATCCTGATCTTTTCTTAGGGTGATATGTGGGAAGGAACTTATAGGAAAAAAAAAAAAAACTAGACAATGAAAACTTATTCAGCAAGCTACTAATGCTGATACTAAGGTGTTTATAAGGAATACATTAGTCATGTAGAAGTAAACAAGTTCTCATTTTGGAGGGGAAGAGAAGATGGAAGGGAAGTTTTCTAGGAAGTGATTTGTAAGAGAAGAACTGAATGAATAGATATTACCTGACGAAGCACTAATCTTGTATGCAGAGACATAGAGATGAACATAAATATGTTTGGCTCTAAAACTGAAGGTGTTAAGGTTTATTGGAACACACAGTGTGAGGATGAGAGTGGCCACAGATGAGACTGGAAAAGTTAAGAGTGTGTTAGACTGAAGAAGACTGTTCTACACAGAAGAGCAACCTTCCTTCTGAAGGCAGTGAAGTATCTCTGAAAGGAAATTTACGTTTTAGAAAGGCCACTGAGTAATTTTAGGAAAGTAGATCAAACTAAGCAAGTATACAGCAATAGGAGAACTGCTCCAACAATTTGGGCAAACAAATGAGGAAGACACTGGATGAAGACTTGAGACAATGAAGTTCAATAGTAAAAAATTGAAAAATATTCGGGCAATTGAATAAGTGTTTACTAATAACTCATCACATATTGTGGATCAGTCTGGAGTGATATCTAAGTTCTAATCAGGGACATCATTGCAAGAAGATGATATCATTTATGGAGTTATAGAAGACATAGGGTTTGTTGTTGAAATACATTTAATGGTCACTTTTCATCTTCTAAAAAAGTAGATTCTCATTTCTGAGTTGTTCATTTCATCTTTTGTTTTCTGTTCTGTTCTGTTTGTCATCACGTAGCTCTCGAGGAAAGAAGTGTTCGTGTATTTATGTTCCCTAAACTATTGCATTGTGAAAATAATAGCTTGATCTTTTATGCAACAAGGAAGTTTTTGACTGAGTCTAAAATCTGTTCTCTGAGGTTCTTTTGCAGTTGGCATGATATTCAGTCACTGAAGAATGAGATAGAAGTCAGAGGTCATCAAGGTTTTTTTTTGTTATTTCATGAGTTTGTTTTAATAAATAAATGCTCAACAACATTCATTCTTACTGTGCATATAGTGTGATAATATTACCAGAATATTTCTATGTTGATAAATTTCTGAGCATCATATACCCTTTTGATCTCAGAATCAAGAATTATGAACTTTCTCTTCTAATGTATCTTTGAATAGTTTTCTAATTGCATTCTGCTATATTCCTAATGACTTATGTATCTGTTGATTTTAGTTTGTCTGTTTTCATCTTTATATGTTTTGCTATGATCTTTTTTCTCTATGCATTTCTTTGAATTATTCATTTATGTCTAATTATGCATTTTTAGTTTTCAATAACCTGTTTTTTAACTTTTAAGTATTATTTTATTCTTTGTAGTATTTTTCTTTCCTGTTCAATTTATTTTCTAAGTTCTTGATTTTTATCTCCCTCAGTTTTCTCTAATTTAAAATTTTAAATAATTTATTTCTTTTTTGCATTTTCAAATGCTTTTTGAGTTTTTTCTAAGATACCTATTATCTATTAGATCCTATCTTTTGTCTCTTTTTTGATTTTTTCCTTTTTATAAATAGATTCCCTGCTAACACCTTGAGAATTGAAATGAAAAATAGTGAAAAACAATGTGGGTTTAGAGAGCCTGGTAGGAGACAGGAAGTGAGCCGAAGCAGAACACAGCTTTGATTTAGTGAGGTCATCTTGACTTGCGTTTCTAGTTGAAGCAAAGCCTGAGAAGTTGGTAGATTTTCTGATGATAATATACTTGCTTCCTCTTCCTTTTTCATCTTAGTTTATCTCCAGTAGTCTTCATTAGTTAGGAAGCTAGGTTGTAAATTATATTTCATTTTCACTGCAGTTCTGTGTTACCAAGTGAATCTCTATGGATACATTTCCTGCTTTTGTGATGTCTCAATCTTAGCCGTAAAACTTATAAGCTCTTGTGACCCTAGAAGTTCTTACCAAAGAAACTATTGTATAGTAATCTCAGAATTCTAGCGTATGCAAAAATCTGTCATTAATAAAACTGAGAATTAGTTTGTTTGCTTCCAGTTTCTTCTTTGGTTATTATTCATTTCTCAGTACTTGGATGCCCTCTAGTAAGCTATGTAGTTTAAGGTTATGAACACTTCCTTTTTTAATTGAAGCTGTTTTTTCTCCTTTATAGATTCATTTCATATTGTTTTTATTTCAGTATAAAAGAATAGAATAAAAATGCACTTAACATATTAGCTAAATTTGATACCAAAATCTATTACTTAGACGAATGTGGTGGCAGTACAGTAAGGGGTTTACAATGCAGGTAACAAAAGCAGGTAGTTAAGTAGGAAGCTGCCAAAATAGGCTAGGGAAAGGACAGTAAAAACATGAGAGAGGCATCATCAGTGAATTGAGAAAAGCGTGTGGATTTATCCATTTTTGTTTAACAACCAATAGATTTGTTAAATTATTGGACAAGTGCATGAAAGGAGAAAGTAAAATAATATTCTAATGTTTCTGATTGTGATATATGGAAGAGTATTAGCTTTGGAACTGGAAGAGAGCTTTGAAAGAAAAGCAGATTTTGAGATCACGTTAATGAATTTACATTTAGAATTCGAAGGAGTTTTATAAAAAATTTGAAAAAATGTTTTTGTATTTTGGAACTGGTAGTCTACTACTTTGAAGTAATACTTGAAAGCTTGAAGTAAGTAGGGAAAATGATGTGAGCAAAGGGACACAGACATGACAAGTACATGATGATTCAGTGGGACACTGGGTAAGCCTGGCAGTGGCTTCCTGTGGTTGGCGATACCTCTTGTTACCAAGTAATTACACAGTGAACAAGCCATAGATTATTGAGATATGATCTTGATGTGGTATTTGGAATAAAAATATTTTATAGACTTCAGAGGGTATAAGCATTATACAACAGATATAATGTCTTCATTACTTAACAGAATATATATATTATCATGAAAGCAAAATTAATGATGATGATGATCATGTGTATATAAATAATTTGAAATTATATAGTTAAAATATCATGTCAGTGGTCATCACATGAAAAATCAGAAGCATTTTTTGTTTTATTTTACAGTTTAATATTGATTCTACCTTCATTTGTTGATGAAAAATCTTCCGTAAAGCAATGAGGAGATAGAAATCTAAATGAAGGTTATACTCATGGATTTATGACTGAGTCTGGATAGCTGAGCAGATTTATGTAAATGTAATAATATGAATCACTGTCTCAAAAAGATGGGTCAGGGAGGATGAGGTGATCCAGTAAATGCTAAACGGTGCTTTGCACTGATGCATTTTCCATAAGGAGCAGGAATCTGTGTTTTATACTTACAGTAAACTTTTGGGTTACTTTGTGTTTGGGCACTGTTGAGTGCTAAATGATTGTGTTCTAATAACGAAAAAAGGCACAGATGGACAAGACTTAACTAATTCCTGGTGACCTTGATAAACAACATTCTTTAACAGAAATCGTTACTGAATATTGTAGGTCTCATTCTAACTAATGGAACTATTCACTGCTCTATGTTATTAATTTACATTTGATATTTTTTCAAAGCTATAAATGTAGCCCTAGGAAATAACTAAGCATTTAGAGAGCCTGGCTTATAATAGATGATGTTATGGGAGAGTAAATACGCTTTAAAAATAGAACCAGATGGTACCAAAATTTTTGGTTTGCTTTACTGAATCTTGGCCTCCAGGCTCTGTGGCTTTTTTTTTTTTAAGTGGCAGGACCCAGCCTCCTCCTGTGCCATTTTGAATTATGAAGATTGGCCAGGAGACATTAGACTCAGAAAATTCTTGGTAAGATATTATTGTGCCACAGTCAGGCACCTCATTTAGCATTTGAGGGCAAGTAAGACTCAGAGTCATCATAGGAAATTAAAATAATGATCAAAAACTTGCATTCTGATTTTGTGTATGATCGTAATAATTTGGAAGGAAAACACACGGTATACAAATAGAAGAAGGAAATGACTGCTGATTCATGTGAAGAAAGAAGAATCTCAGTGTCCTAATCCATAAGAAGATAGGCTGGGAATGATTTCAAATAATAAGTTAGTAATATATTTTTAGAAGATAGATTTTTTTTTGGTACTGAGAATCAAACTCAGGACTTCATGCTTGCAGGCAGGTGCTGGACAACTGACTTACATGTCTGACTAGAGGATAGATCTTAACATGAAAATTATTCAAAATATATTTGCTCTTGTACTCTAGAATGCACATATCTCTTATTACCAAAAGGAACTTAACATTCAAAACCCCTCCGTTTGCTTCCTGAAGCCTAGCTTTTCAAGACAGCCTATTATTAAGAATCACTCTAGCTTGGTCTATATATAAATAATATAGGCAAAGGAAATCCATTTTGAGTTTTAAAATATTCTTTAGAACTATTTGTTTCAAACTGGAGATGGTGGAGCATGTCTTTAATCCTAGCACATGGGAGACTGAGGCAAAAGGAACACCGTGAATTCAAGGCCAGCCTGGGCTTTATAGTGAGATACTATTTTTAAACAATTGTTTAGACTTGGCAGGGGAGGAAAAAAAGCCTATACTCTCAACCCCATAGTTTTGTGTTATTTTTAAGTTACTGAGTAGTTTGTCATTCATTTGTTAGTTAAATTAAATTATGTTTTTGAAGTCATTTTGAAGTGATGATACTTTAAAAGGTATTCTTTTAAACACTCATAAGAGAGTCCTGGGACATGTATCAGTCAACTTTGAATCACATGAAAACAAAGTGATGAAGTTATTTAGGGGAAAGAAAAGGGTTTAAATTCTGTAGTTTACTGTTTGATAAATGCAGGATTTGTATTTTGAAATATAACTTTTTAAATTTCACAAATTAGTTGCTTTTAACATTTTTTGTAGTCCTGAGGTTAGAAATGCCAACTATGCTCCACTATCTTATTGCAATTATAATTTCAAATGATGAGCAAAGTACAATTTTGAAATTTCAGCTAGAAGAAAATTAGCATTTCTTCCAGTTTTTTTCTTAAATGTTCCCAGGAGCAAAGCTGGCCTGGACTTTTTAGCTTTCACAATAAGTAGCCTCTTGTAAATAAAATTATAATGATCTTCATGGTGGTTGATCTAAAAGTAGTATTGGCAATGTTTTTTGATTTATTTCAAGACTAGAGTTTGAGAGCCTTGTGTAATAATAAACTATAGTGGGTTTTTTGCAATCCTAGAAGACAATATTGTGAAGTACGACAAATATCTGGAAACAATTGCTTTTAACACTGTCCATAAAATGAGAATGTGGTGGGGAATAGTGGTACGCATTTGACCGCATACACATCAACCAACTATTTACGGATTTTAAATATAGTGATGGGAACTGAATTAAGGGTTGGCAGAGCCTAGGAATAAAAGAATGAACCTCTCCCCACTTGTTCTGCTGAGAATCAGATACAGCCAAAATTTGATCCTGTATTCCTCGGTTTCCGGTTTCTCTACTTATATAATGTATTCTTGCCTAGAGATTTGGTCACAGGAGTGTTGTGCAATTAAGACTGTGTGGAATTGAGTGATCAATCAGAAAGATAAGACCAAAGAACCCATATCTTCTGTTTCTCTTTTGTCTTTTAGGGTATATGGGTCAGCACATATATATTTACAATATGCTTTGCTGCCAATGTGGGACTATTGTTTGGTGTTGCCTGTACCATAGCTATACTGATAGGACGCTTCCCGAGGTAAAACCTTATTAAATTTCTCTGTTTATTCTACTTAACAACAAAGAATATGATGCTTTCATTTAATTTTATTTTTATATAACTTATGCTACGACAATCTCAGGTTTTATGTGCTATCACAGAATTAAAGACAGATAAGGAAGTGTTTTATCTTAACATGCTACACAACAGTGTTGGTCTTAATGAAAAGCACTATCAACATTATAAAATAAAGTGTTAGCTTCCTATCACTGTAATAAATGTCTGAAATATAGGAATTTAAGAAGAAGCAAAGTTCATTCTGGATCATGGTTTTAGAGATTTCAGTCCATGGTCACCTAGCCCTGTTGCTTTGAGCTTCTGCAAAGCTACTCACCATATGACAACTGGGAAAAAAAAGAGAGTAGATGAGAGTTGGTCCCCATTATCCCCTCCTAATTTACTCTCTCAGTCACCTAACTTTATCCTGTCTCTTGGAAGTTTTACCACCTACTGATAGCACCAAAAATCGGCAAAAATATCTTTGACACAATGGCGTTTGTGGGACATATGACATTCAAATCACAATAAATATATAAAGTATGTTTAAATATATCCTTTCACCATATATTGTATCATAGAGAATTTTAATTAAGTGAAGGAATATAGTGTCCAATTCAACACAAACCATATAGTAACAATAATTTAGAAAATCAAATAACTTCAAAAAGTGTTATTTCTCAGATTACAATTAATTTTTGTATAACATAGGTATATAATGTATAATATATGTAATACAGTATATATAAATATAATATTCTAGATATTTTATTGAGAAATACCCTTTGTATTTTTACTGAGCTTCTACAAATCATTTCCCTATTTTGACCAATCCCTTATCTGCTTTCCCAGTGTTCATCTGGTAGTGCTTCTACTCACATCTTAACCTTCTCTTGAAGTTATTTGTGAAGTAATATATTCCTTAAAATGTTCAGATTTATCTTTGTATTCTCCTTCTGTGTTACCTAAATATAGGAGATTCATTATTATCGTGTTCCATCTTGTCTTTGATTCCTTGTTTCCTTCTTTTCCTCTAAAACAAGATTTTAGCAGGTACTACATACTTTCTAGCCTTTTATCTCTTATAATTCTTTACCAATCCACCTCTTGCAGCTTGGAGATTTGGGGCTCTAGGAACCAAAATGAGGTAAATTATACTTATTAATCTTTAGTTAGATGGTTCTTTTGTTACCCTCTATTCCTGAGTATCCCAGAAATATATAGATTTACTAATCTTTTATGAGCAAATGGGTTGTGAGTTCTAAACCATTCAGACATTTCTAATCATTAAGATAAAATATGACTCAGCCCCCTGTGTCTTCATGTTAATGTGCTAATCAGAAAATGACTTACTGTGTTTTTATATTTGCCTTAACTTTAGAGCAAAGACTTTAAGTATTAAAAACATGAAAGAAATGGAATTTAAAGTGAAGACAGAAACAGACAATGTAAGTTTAGTTTCTTTTTTCCCTTTGCACAATGATTAATAATTTTTGTTAGTGTGGTAGTTTTAAGTATCATAGAAAATATAAATTATGACACTGAATTTACTTCTATTTTTAATTAAGATGAACTTCCAATGTTACACTTTGGTCACCACACATGAGACAGTGGACATACAACAAATCAATAGAACAGAAAAATATTTTTTTGAATTTGATATTCAGATAAAATCAGACCATGGTTCAAAGAACTGCAGTTCACAGTTGCATCTTGGCCCACCTTCATTCAAGCATGTTTAAACCTCTTTTCTATTGCTAAGTTGTGTAAACTTATCCAGTCAAATTGATAGACTTTTCTGAATTAAGTGATATATAAAGATAGGAAGCAGGGAAGAAAATAAACTAATATTACCTTTTAAAAAATCTACTGGAGAAGACTATCATTTGTGGAGGGTAATTAAATTCAGTGACTCTGGAATGTCGATATGGCTGGATATTTACTCAGTAAACATCTTTTTAAATAGCACCTTACATAAAGTGTCTTGTTCTACCAAGCTAAGTGGAGCCAATTTGTAGAGTTTGAGTCCCAGTTTTTTTTTTTAATCCTAAGAGATAACAAAACAGTTACAAGTGAAGGGAAAATTGTTGACTTATTTGTTTCAATTTAAAAAAATTGTCCTTATTTTGAGCCTACTTTTTTAAAAATTTTATTTAAAAGGAAAAAGAGAAAAAACAAAACAAAACAAAGCAGTGTAAGGGTACAATTAATACAGAACTATAAAAAAAGTAAGAAATCACCAGTTAATAGATTATAATTATCGTCCTAGAGACAGTTGCTCAAGTCACAGTATCAAAGCATACAAAGTGGGCATTCAAACAGTGAGCCTCCAAACAGTTGTGTTCAATGATCCAACCAAAAACATTAATATGGGCATCTATTTAACACCCCTAAACACACTTGCAGTTGTATATTTTAGAGCACTTTTTTTTTTCCTCTCTTTTTTTACAACACAATTTACACATTTTGGGTTTTATTACTCCTTAGTTCTTATTACTTTGTTTTTTTTTTTTTTTTTTTGGAAGAGAATAAAGTCAAATATGGCAAAACAAAGCTGTCAGTCAAAACCAAGGATAGACATAGCACATGATATAAAAAGAGTACAAGGTTATCAACAATGGTTATCATAATGCCTCTTGCTTCCTTAAAAAAAATTGTCTATCTCATTAGGTATTATAAAGTTGAACAAAACAGTAAAGAACAAGACCAATAAAACCTAAACCTTGTAAACACTACAGGACTTCCAAAGAAGATAATAGTCAAACCAGAATGGGCATCATAGTGAATCTTATTGCCTTCAAAGTAGTTGCCTATACCTTCAAAATTGATACTATCATACAGAACGGAACAGAGTTTAATCAGTCAAAACAAGATAGTGGGAGTATTACAGGACTTCAAATCAAGTTAATAGGAAATCAAATAAGTTACTATAATATATCCTGCTAATATATGTTTGGCTTAACTTTTTCCTTTATTTCTTATATTTGCTTTTGTACCTCGTGATTTCCCTCAGAACAGAGAGAACTGGCCTCTCACCATAAGATCCAATGTTAGGGTGTTTTCAAGTAGACTGGAGCTAGGAAATAGCATCAGGAGTTTTTCTGTGGCCCAGGAAATTAGCTTGTGTTTTAAAAAGCATGCGAAGATTTCTTCATGGAAAGCTGTTTCATTTCAGAGATTTTGAGGCTGTTACATGCTGAACTTTCCCACCAACTCTGCCATTATTTTCTTTAAATTGTCCACGGGAGCCAAGCACAATGGTGCATACCTGCAACCCCAGCTACTTGGGAAGTTGAGACTGAAATATCTAAGATTAAAGACCAGACTGGAAAAATATAGAAAATCCTGTATTAAAAATGTGGAGGGAAGAAAGAAAAAAAAAGACAAGAAAGGAAAGGACAGGGAAGAAAAGACAATCTTGTTTTCAATCTTGTCAACCAGTAGAGTAATAACCATCACATGCAACTCTTAATGTTATTAAAGTCATTCGTGGTAGCAAGCATTATCTTGATTTTAAAGCCAGAAAAGAGAACTACAGGCCAGTGTCTCTAATAAACACAGCTTCAAAATCCCTCAATAAGATAATGGCAAACAGTGCAGCAAGGAGGAAACAGATCATACATCATGTCCAAGTAAGATTCATTCCAGGGATGCAGGGATGGTTCAACATACACAAATCAATAAATGTAATACACCACATAAAATAAAAGCAAGGACAGAAATTGCAAACTCATCCCAATAGATGAAAAAATAATATTTGACAAAATCCAACATCAATTTGTGATAAAAACATTGAAGAAATGTGAATAGAAGGTCTTTATTAAAACTTGATAAGACCCATCTATGACAAATCAATAGCTAACCTTATTCTAAATGGAGAGAAACTGAAACGTTTCTTTCTAAAATCAGGAGCAAGACAAGGATGTCTTCTCTTACCGCATTTGCTTTATATAGTTCTTGAAACAATAGCTAGAACAGTAAGACAAGAGAAATTAATAAAAGAAATATGGATTGGAAGGAAGAAGTTATATTATCATTATTCGCTGATGACATGATGGTCCACATAGAAGACCCCCAAAACTCGACCAAAACACTCTTATAACTGATATCCAAATTTGCAGAATACAAAGCCAACACTGAAAAGTCAATAGTGTTCCTGTACACCAATAGTAAAGAAGAAAAGTAGGGAAATAATACCCTTCACAATAGCATCAAAATAAATTAAATACTTAAGAATTAGCCTAACGAAGGAAGTGAAAGACCGATGCAATGAAAATTATAGTACTCTGAGAAATGAGATTGAAGAAGATATCAGAAAATGGAAAGAGATCCCCTGTTTCTAGATAGGCAGAACCAATGTAGTCAAAGAGGCTGTAATTCTGAAACTTTTATATAGATTTAATGCAATCCCAGTCAAAACACCAGTAACATTCCTTTCAGAGTGAGAGAAAGCATTCCTAAAATTCACATGAAACCAGGAGAGACCTGAAATAGCAAGAGCAATTCTGGATGACAAGGGCAAGGCAGGGCACATCACAGTTCCAGAATTCAAGTCATGCTACAAAGCTACAGTGATAAAAATGGCATTTTATTAGCAACAAAGCAAAACCAAAAAACGAAAACACTCACAGATCCATGGAACATAAGAGAAGAAACAACTCCAGGCACACTCAGGTGGTTTTTCTTTCTTTCTTTTTTTTTTTTTTTTTTGACAAAGTAACCAAATTCCTTTACTAGAGGAAAGACACTTCTTTAATAATGCTGGGAAAACTGGCTATTCACATGTTGAAGGTTCAATTTAGACCATGTTTCTCATCATGAAGTAAACTACAATCAAAGTAATTTAAAGATGCTAGAATTAGAACAGAAACATTAATCTGCTTACAGTCAAAATAGATAAAGCTTTTGAAGACATGTAAGCAAAGACTTTCTGAACAAAAACCACAGTTGCACAAGAAATATCAAAAATAATATCAAGAATCAACAAATGGATTCTATCAAATTGAAAAGCTTTTTCACTGTAAAGGAAACCATTAGCAGAATGAAGAGACAACCTACGGAATGAGAAGAAAATTTTGCCAGCTACTTCTCAAAGTACTATTACCTAGAACATATAAAGAATTCAAAATGCAGGAAATCTCACAACTTAAAGACTCAGTTTAAAAATGGGCATCTTAAATGGATAGACACACTTCTCAGAGGAAGAAATACGAACAGCCAACAAATACATGAAAAAATATTCAACATGGCTGGACATTTGCAAAATAAAATTAAAACAACACTGGGATTCCACTTCACTCCAGAAAGAAAAAAATACCATCACAAAACCAGCCAATAGCAAATGCTTGTGAAGCTGTGAGGAAAAAGCAATCTTTCTCCATTGTTGGTGGGACAGTAAACTGATAAAACCACTGTGGAGATTCCTAAAGAACTGAAAGTAGAAATTCCATTTGACCTGCTAGTTCCCTTTTAGGTATATCCCCAAAAGACTTACAGTCATCATATCACAGTGATGTATGCTTTTCCTCAGCAAATTCCTAATAGTTAAATCTTGGAAACTGCCTAAATGTCCATCAGCAGATGAATGGATTACAAATGTTGTATGTGTACACAGTGGAGTACTTCTGTGACAAAAGAAGGATAAACTTGAGTCATTTGTAGAGATAAATGCACTTTGAGGCCATAATACTAAGTGAAGTATCTCAGATACACAAGCTTCAATGTAGCATTGTTTTGCTTATATATAAAAACTCAATGTAAATATAAAGTATAGTGGTATCTTGGTTCACAAACTGAATTCTTTCAATGATTCTGGTCACAGAATTCATTTCATGATTCTGATTTTTGTGTGGAAAAACTAATTTGTGAAGCAAGATCCCACTGTATGAATAAAAGATAAATAATAAAAAAGACATAATCCAATGCAGTTTATCTAAAAGTATCTGACTAAGTACATTGGCTTACATGTTTTATATGTTCTTTGACCTATCAGTTGGGTTTTCAATCTGTATATATGATAATTAAATTTATAAAGTCTTATATGATAAATAAATGAATTTAATGCTGATAAAACAAAAGGAAGTGAAGGGAGGAAGAAAACAAAAGGTATTTAACTATGTTACATACATGTACGAATTCCTTGCTCTGAATGTAATTATTATGTATAACAATTGTACACTGATAACATTTTTTAATAAAGAAAGAAAAACTATTGATCCTCATTAATGACTTGTACCAAAACTAAGAAGAGAAAAGGCCAAAACTGAGCAAGATTTGAAGGTGAATTATTGGGTAGAACTTTTAAGTAATTTAAAATAAACAATCTGTTATTTTTGTCTTCCAATCATGCACTTTCCCAGTCCTTTATGCAAAGCATTCCTATTTGGGAAAATACTAGATGAATTCAACTCCACTGAAAATTTTTTTCTGGAACAGTTTGAATCTCTACTCTTTAACAAATATATATTTTCCAAATTAATTTAAGACAACTTAATGGCCCAGTCATGTATGATTTGTGATGACAGGCCTGAGTTAATATTCCTATTTTAGTTTTGGTTTCTATGGGGTTTACTCTTGGCAACTGACAGTTTTGTATTTTTGTGTGTGTGCAAACCTCATTTTCTGAAGTTTCATTGATGTTGTGGCCTTAGAAACTTTTGAGATTATCTAGTTTAAACATTGAGGTAGTTTTAAAAATTGAGACACTGAGAGTTTAAATAAATTATCCAAAACTAATGCCACTAATATTTTCTCTTTCCTCTGCCTGTGCACATGATAATTCCCCGCATTTCCTCTTCTATATGAACACTAAGGCCTGCAGAAGTCCTGCTGTCTTGGTTGGTGAGGAGTTACCATCTCAGAGCATCGGCCACCCTCTTAATCAGACACGTGTCCCAAAGCCACAAAGAAGATGGTTTTAGTTGCATGCCACCAACAGCTGCTAACAATATCTAGGCAAATGGCCAAAGCAGACACCTTCTGTATATAACTTTTTGTCTGTTTCTACTTATTTCACCTGCATTGTGGCAGTGCAGTGTCACCTAGATCTGCCCCAAGTGGAATATATTCCTGTTCCAATTAGGACTATTAGTCACTTATAAAGTTGTCTTTCAGCTAAAGAAAGTTTGCATCATTATGAGGACATGATCTGATATTTGACAAATTAGTATACATTTTTGCTTTCTAAAACATAAACGGTTAAATAAATTAATTTTAACTGATTGGTTAAGTGGAAGAGGTGCTTTGGGGAGGATATATATACTCCTGGTATTCTAAAGGCATTTTAGGCTATTGCCTCCCCAAACCCAGTCAAAAGGAATAAGAACCACTTTCTGAAAAGCTGCAGATTTGTCTCAAGGTTACTCTTTCTTTTGAGAGAGTACATATTCTCCAAGAAGTGTGTTGGTACAGTGATGTAGCTAAATACATTTTAATAATGAAAATGTTGGTTAAGAGATAATCTGGGTGTCATTTGGACTTAAAAGACTTAGACTCATTGTGTATAGTTCTTCTCTTTCATTTAATTCACAGTTGTGAATCTTCTTCTTTAAAAGGAGTCCACGCATCAGGTGAAAATCATCTCAATAAACAACCCACTTGTTTTCCTGAATGTGAAGAAATTTCATATTGATTTAAAGAACATAATCCAGAGGGAGAATGCCACTAATCACCTACTTGATGATATCAGCAAGGTAGGATCTACAGTTTCATGATTAGAGTTAGTGGTTACTGTAGAGAACTATATCATGACACTAAAAAATGTCTCAGGTAAATAATACTTTCATATAGTGTATGGACTTAATTTTTAGGTAGTCACTTTCTTGTTTATTTATTCATTCTATGATACCTAATGAGTATACTAGGTACTAGATCCCTGAGAACAGCCAACAAGACAAGTTGCTTAGTTCAAAGGACTGACTTACCAAGCTACTAAATAAAAAATACATTATACCTAACTCCTAGAGATAGGACATGACAAATGACTTCAGAGAAGTATAAATTTTTGCCATCACTGTAATATTATAAAAGTCAGCTTTATTTCTACAAGTAAAATCAATTGTCAGATGTTGAATTAAATGTGCATCACTGTGATTTACTGTAAATGAGCTGTATGTCATAATTTGAATCCTTAGGTCCTCCATAATGGTAAGAGCCAGACTGCTTGAATTTGCTGCTTATCAGCTATGGAGACTCATTGGAGTCACCAAATTTTGTGTTTCAGTTTCTTCATCTTTAATCAAGATGATCAAATGAGTTAATAAATGCAAAGCATTTAGAACGTGGCCTACTTAATATTATACAGTCTTAGCTTATATTATTAGTTTGGTTGACTGCTCTTTTCATGAAACTTTCCACGGCTATTACAGATCACAGATCTCTTCTTTTTCCCATCTTTGTGCATGTATTATCTCTCAGTCCTTCAGGAACATAGATGATCTCAGGTCTCCTGTTTCTGGCAGGCCAGGAGTTGTCCCTCACAGCTTCACACTTTCGCCTTATCCTGACCTACACAGTTTAGAAGCTCCATATTCAGGATGACATGTGTAATTTGCAGGAGCCCAGAGCAAAACGTAAATGTGAGGTTTTCTGCTCCACAATTATTCAGAGTTTTAGGATGATGGCAGCAGAGCATAAACCAAGTGGGAAAGCCTTCTAAGCCTGGGTCCCTGTGGGACTGCACAGATTGCAAGCAACTGAAGCCAGCCCTCCCTAAGTGTCACCTACCAGGCTTAACCCCTCACTGTGCTCCTCAGGACTTCACTTTCAAGGGAACATTGGGAATCAAGACCAGTCGTTTCAGGTTGAGAACATTGGCTCACTTGCCAAATGCAGAGATAAGTTTCCAGTTGTCTAATTTGGACACCGGGCCTTTTTCTTTCACAACACCTTGTTAGCCCACACAGTGGTGTGCATCTGTATTTGATTTAGGGAGGTTTCTGTGTGTAGCGATAAACTCACAGATACCACACCTAAGAGTGTTGGTAAAACATTTGTCCAGAGTTTCATGCAACATAATTAACCCATAAGAAGTTTGTGGTCTTATTTTTAAATGTAAGTTGTCTTCTTAATGTTCTATACTGCTTAATGGGCTTTATCAAACATAGTTGCATACTTGAAACAAAGATTCTGTTAAGTAATCATTTAATGAGAGTTGACGGTACTTTCCTTGGAGTATTTTCCTGTAATACTGCTAGCCCCAACTTGTTTTCAGAAATTGAAAATTAGCATGTGTGATTATTTTGTCGTATGCCAAGTCAGAATTTAACCTCATTAATGAACCCTTCATTGAGGAGTTATCTCATCTGATTTTATCACTTAGTCAAATCAAATTCATTGAATCCAGGCTTTTGGTAGGTAATGGTACTCAAAAGGATTCTTTAAGAACTCTATGATAGTAAGAAAGGATGTGTTAAATTCACTTAGTTCCGCTAAATGAGAATAATGCAAATGTATGTATTTACATACCATGAATATTAAAGAAGGATTCAAATGAGGATTTGGAAGGCCTTCTTTATGAATGATGGGGGATAAACCATCAGTAAGAGTTGTTAGATGTTCTGGAGTTGTATGGATTCATTCTTGGGTATCTTGTGTTACTCTTGTAAGACTGTCCAGGTTATCTACTTTTTGACTCACGGTAGAAGTGGTCCACTCCTTTATCTACAGAAATTACTTGAAATTTTTGTGCAAAGACATTTCAGAAGAGTTATCCTTAAGAAGAGAAAAAGGGAATTCAGTGTTATTGAATGGTTCTTAGACATCAGATTCTTGTTAGGCCACATTAATCATCACCAGCCATACCATGCAAGTGGCATTATCTGAATGTTGCATAAATGAAGGCTGAGAGTTAAAAAGTAAAACAATCCAATACAGCTGATAGCTATCTAAACACCTAAGATTTGTAAACTGTGCCACTGGGTATGAAGGAGAGGGAACAGAAGTTCTCTAGTTTGCCTGAAAGATGAAAACTTTCCAGAGAGAAGCCTCCAAGATGAAAACTCTTTCCACAGAGAAGCAGTATAAAGCAAGGGCTGGGCCCACAAAGGGGAACTGGGAGGACACTGGCTTTAGTTGTGATCCAGGCTTTTGCCAGCTTTGCAATTTCGATCAAGTTACATAGCATTTCTAATTTTTGACTCACTCATATGGAAAATGAGATTTCTAACTTTGTAGCATTACTCTGAGTATTAGATGATTAATGTCAAGTCCTTGGTTTAGGGTAAGTACTGAGAAAAAATCAACTGCTCTCATCAGCAGCAGCATCATTAACAAAAACAACAGCAATGAAATTGATTATTGGAGACGTAGATGACATGTGATCTCATTAGAGCGTCAGAGAAGTTAGCCATTTTCATTGTCATTCCACAGCATCTCCACCAATCAGAAACATGTCTCAGGCACGTTCCTGAGCTAACTTTTGTGCACTGTGAAAGCTCTGATTGGTGGCTCTGCCTCTATGTAGCATGACGAATACACACCAAAGTTTAATTTTTCATCCGAAATCAAAATAAATGGTCTTACAGAAAATGTTCTAAAGAAGATAGTCTGACTTGGTAGTGTTCATCATTTACTGAGTTAAGGTATACTCAGCACTCATCATCATATCTCAAAGTTTGTTGTACACAATATTCTGGAAACAAAGCTGGTGAAAGTATTGAATAGAGACTAATTTTTGTTATTTACTATGGAGAAAGAAATAATGCGTTTTCTCATTTTTTGCAAATTGTTTTTCTAATTTTTTTCTTTTCATTTATTTTATTTCAGTGTGAACAAAACACGTTACTCAATTCTCTATCCAGTGGTAGCTACAATGGTGAGTTAGTTTTAAGGAAAAAAAAATGAGCCTCTTTCTTATTTTTTTCCTCTTCTCGCTTCCTCCCTCTTTACCCTCGTCCCATCTCTTCTTTTTCTTCCATCTATCTCTCCTTTCTTCCTGCTTTCTGTTTCTTCTCTTTCTCATCTTTCTTTTTACTTAAAATGTTTGAAGTTTGTAGTATCAGAGCTTTAACATGGACAAAAATTTTCTTCAAAATATTTTTTCTTTGAGAATATTTTGGATTTTTACCCAAACAAGCCAACAATGTAAAGCCATTGGAAGTCGATGCTTATCTGAAAAAGATAAATCAGGTAACAGCAACACGTTTTGGTTGTGGTGCTTGTTGAGTCACCGTATTAATGTGTATTCTGGTGAAGTTTATCTTTCTGTTGCAACCGCAGGGGTTCATGTGATTTTGTCTTAATACACAGAAAATAAAAGACACGAAAGAAAGTGAGCCGCTACTGTGAAGCATGAATGAGAAGTCTTATGATATCATCTAACTAAATGATAAAGCAGAGTTAAAACAAACTTTTATGACTAGCATTTAATTTGATATTAAATAACACATGGACATCAGAAATAATTAAATTATTTATCATAGATTTTAAAATTACAAATCAATAAAATTTACTGGGTTTATTTTATATTGTATATTTGGCTGATTCACTCTAAATGGAAATTAAAATTAATTTTTGTTAGAAATTGAGAAATATCTGTTTTACTTTCTATTTCAAATTTTGGAAATCTTTTAGCCCCATAATTGAGTTCAAAAATTCATTAGATGTTTTTAAAAAGTACTGGCATTTACTACTTTAAATATATAGTTGAAAATAAGTAATACTCTTAGCAAAACTAAAGAAATGACATAACTTACCAAAGAATGAAGTGACAAATATATGTTTCTGTTACTAGGTCACACATTTGAAAAAATAAGTTGGGGCTGGGGATTTAGCTCAGTAGCATAAGCGCCTGGAAGCAGGCAGTCGTGAGTTTGATCCCCAGTACCGATAAAAAGGAAAAAGACCAAAAAAAAAAAAAAAAAAAAAAAAAAAAAGAAAAAGTAAGTCAATCTGAAGATTCAAGGTGAAAAATAAGATGCTTTTTACTAACTTCTTGAATGTTAAAAATAAAGATTATAATATATCTTTAAAAAAGAATGATTTGGCTATTGTCTCATTTCTCAATCTTTTCTTCTATTGATGCTGAGGCTCTGGCTGGGCGGCAAGTTTGTGCTGTTATGTTTCCCTTCAGGTGGCTGAGAAAGACTCTGACCTCCCACTGTTTCTCTGATGCCCATAAGCTGGAACTAACATGCAAATTTCAACGCATTTCAAATAATGGAAATGATACCTGCAGATTTTCTGGCAACACGAGAATAAGTTGTAAATCTTTACTGGAAAGAAATTTACAGCAAAAAATAACCAAAAACCTCCATATATTTGCAAATTAGTAAAAAGTTTTTGTAATAATCTGTTGTCCAGAGAGTTCATCATGAGAATTAGAGAGGAAAGGTAATTAAATTACAAGGGAAATGCATATCAAAATTTATGGGATATAATAAAATAGTAATTAAGGAAAGTTTATATATTAACCTGCACATGTTAGGAAAAAGCCTAAAAATCAGTGATTTAATGATTTATACCAAGAATTTAAAGATTCAAAATGGAAACAATGAAAATAAAAGGAGGAAATAGTGAAATAGAAATTAATAAAATTTTAAAAAGATAAACTTTAAATGATCAAAAAATCCCAGTTTGGTTTTTCAAAAAGAATAATAAAATTATTGAACATTAAACAAAACTAAGAAAAAATGATATGGGACAATATGAAGAAAAAATACATATATATATATATATTTTTTTTTTTTTTTGTCTTTTTCCTTTTTATCAGTACTGGGGATCAAACTCATGACCACACACTTGCAAGGCAGGTGCTTATGCCACTGAGCTAACCCCCAGCCCCAAGAAAAAAAAATACAGAACTACAGATTACATAGATGTTTAAAAGATGAGCATATTATAGATATCTTAATACCAAAAGAAAATCTGAATGCTATGGGAAAAGTCTAGATAATATATAATTTTACACAAGTGATTTAAAAAAAACCAAAAAAGATTTTCCTATAACTATTTAAAAAATTAAATCCTTAGTTCAAAGTTTTTCCCAAAAGACTATTCCATACCATGAAGTTTTTACCAGTGAAACCTGTCAATGGGGGAAAAAACAATTCAAAATTTTTCATAGTAGCATTAGTTAAAATATTCCGTAACACTGAAAAACAACAAAGTGTCCATTAACATAAATAATGAGTATTTGCATGAGTTGATTAAGTGCATTTTATAATATTAACTATATTATAGCATATAATAAACTCTAGGGAAATATTACAGACTTGAATAGAGAAACACAAATGAACTGCATCGGTCCATACCAACATGAACACAGTTCAGCTAGTGCCTTCTCTGGCCTTTCTGCTTCTTGTGGCACATTGACTCTTTCCAGCCTGGCTTCTCAGAAGAAACTTGTGTAATAGTAACACAGTGGTTTCTAATGGTAACTTCTGGAACAGCACACTCTCTTGCTCTGCCTCCTGGGACCACCCTCACTTTGCACAGAACGCTAGCTGATGGCCAGTCACCTTTTTGTGTCCCAGTGAAGCTCTTTGTCTCCGATGGCCCTTCTATCATGGTCAGAAGAAGTTATTCAGAATATTTCTCCTGCTTCCCCCTCTTCTCTCTCCTGACACTCTGGAGCATCCTTGTTTTCTGTCTCTCATTCAGTCTCAATGCCCTGCTCTCACTTCTCTGTTCTTTAAATGATAAGGTGAAATTTTGTATTTCTTCTCTCAATTTAACCACAGAAACTTATAATTCTTTGTTCAATTTCCTTTACATGTTCACCTGTATGATTTGTATTCTATCCTTAGTTGTGTTAAAAATAAATCAGTGTGCTATAAGACAAATGATAACTTTGAAGCTTTCACACTCCCCAACTAAGAAATAATAGGCAGCCCAGGGTGGGGTGAGTTGGATTTGAGGGAGGGAAGATGAATTTAGTTTGGAGATTTGAGATAAGCATATCATGTGAGGTCACCCAAGAGACATTCAGTGAGTTTGGAGGACTACAGAGTAGACTTGACAGCTACCAAAGCAGGGAGACATACGCCGAGTCAGGCAGTACGCAAGTGGGAAGACAACAAAAAATATCTCTGTCCCCAACAGTCTTTTCAGAAGGGAAAGATTCATAGTTGAGCACCTGATCAAGTAAGTAAGAGATATCAACAAAAGCGGTACATATTAAAGATAGAAACATGGTGTTCTCTGAATGACAGTCAAGCTGTTCAGCTGAAATGGCTCACCATATTCAGCAGTTTGGGTCCTCAGAGCACTTTAGTGGTCTTACCCTGATACTCAGTGGCTCTCTGTTGAGGTCTCCCTGGCTCACTTGTGATTTTCCAGTTGACATCCGCTGCCTACCTCCCCTACTTCACTTGCAGGAATCCTCTAGTGATCAGCTCGCTCTTTTATTCTTGAGTACTCATCAAGGTTTTTTTTTTTGTGTGTGTTTATTAGCATCTTCTAAGTCCTAGGCACCATAATATGTGCTGCATATTAAAGGGTGAAGGAGACAGACATGGCTTTGGGGTCCATGATGGACCCTGAACTATAAACAACTGCTTTCCCTCCCCAGATCAGCAGTCCAGGCATATAATTTTCTTATTGCTACAAACTTAGTTTTGAAACATCAGCGACTTATTATTTGGCAGTTCTAGGTGATAAAAGTCTGAAATGAGTTGCATAGACATAAAATCAAGGTTTTGGCAAGGCAATATTCCTTTTTGAAGCTCTAGAATAGAATCAATTTCTTTCCATTTTCAAACTCCGGAGGCCCTCTGCTTTCTCAGGTGCATTTTACCTGCTCTCAGTACAATAAACCTCCAGCCTCAATTTTCAGGCTAGCTGGGCGTTGTCTTCCTTTAGTCCCACATCTCTTGACAACCTTGCCTGTCTGTGGTTCTGTTAGTTCACTTGAACAACGTAGGATAATCATCTCATCCCAACACCTTTAATTTAATAAAGTCTATGAAGTTCCTGTTACTATGAAGGTAACCTACTCTTAGATCTTGAGAATTAGGAGATGAGTATCTTTGGGGAAAAAGAGACATTCTGTGTACCATATCAGATCTCTTGTGCTTTCTTAGATCTCTATTTTTCCCAGACCTTGTAATACTTCAAATTACTAGTTCAACTGGTTAGTTTCTCTTTGATTGTGAGTCTACCGAAGGACAAGGGAACTTCGTCTCACTTGTGCACTGTGTGTACATTTCCTACTCTAGTAGTTAAAGTAAGCACTTGTGTATGTAAACTGACTAGTTGAATGAATGAGTGAATTCATGAATGAATGAAATAATAGTATGTACACATTTTCCAAAAGTAGTGTTTTTTGTTCTAAATGGTTCTTGTGTAATTTGGGGGGAAATTAGAGATGTAAATCTGCTTCTTAATTGGTATCTACAGAAAATACTTACTTTTAAAAAAAATTACAAGTGACTCACAAACAGTCAAGAATCTTTTGAAGTACATGAAAAGCACTCCTAAATTATGCAGCTATGAATACTTTTTAATTAAAGGAGTTAATGAATATTCCACAGGAAAGAGCTGGCTCCTTAGTCTGGAGTTAATTGCCCACCCACACCTGATGGTTAATTTCTTTCTGAAATGTTATTTTTTTGTACAAAAAGCCCATCATTTACCACATCCCACATGGGAATAGATTAGTTTCCTTTGCACATGCTCCAAACTCACTTCATTTTGCTTAAGGCAGGGTATTAGCTGTACATTTACTTTATTTTTTTCTAGGATGATGTGATTTTTATTGCACTAGCTGATTTGTTTAGAAGCTTATAACACAAGGTTCTATCCATAAAATCAGTATAATGGCAGAACTGAAAGGCTACTATGCAAACACAAAACTTCACTTATTTTTGGAAGGATTTCAGAGATGCCCATTGTATTTAAATTTTCATTTGAATGAATTGGTAACTTCATCATTAGGGTTTTCTTTTTAATTTAGAAGAATTGTCTTCAATTTCTCCTTTTAAAAGAGCTTATTTAGACAACTACCCACAACTACATAACACAAGTCTTTCTTTTTTTTTCTTTTGCTTCATTTGGATGGCCTGAATGTATGTATGTGCATATATATATATAATAAAATAGGGAACTAAAATATAAAAATAAATGACAAAGCAAGCAATGGCATGAACATATTCTGAGACAATGGAAGGAAAATTTTAATGTCAAAATTGATAAAATAAAAATGCTTTCATAGTTTGTAATTTAGCGTCACTTAAATTATGACATAATTATAACATGATAAAAAGAACAGCAAGTACAGTTCAATAGTGAAATAAATGTAGTAGAATAGAACAGAAAACCAGAACTTTTTTCTTAAAAGTGTGCCTTGTCATCATTTTCTAGTCATTTAGGTAGATTTTTTCAGTGTCCTTAGTAAATGTATATACAGATTGTTTTTCTCTATAGTATTTTTAAGTTCTAAAGATAAATGAAATTCTGATCAACTACTATTTGCTTCCTGAAGCACTGAGGTGATAAACTTCTAAGGTCTCGTTTGAACTCAGTAAAGTACCATGGTGAATAAATTTGTCTTCTCTGGTTATAAAATTGGGTGATTGCATTTATGCCATAGCTTCAGTTGACAATTTATATAGTTGCTTTCAGGAAAAGTGATGCATTTGTACCTTTTCTGACTCAAGCAATTGCTAATTTCAGATTATAATTTATTTTCACTAATTTCTCTTATAGAGGGTGACATGTTTTAATAAACAATAAGAACTAAAGATCTCCAAATTCATACTTCATTAATTTTTAAGTTTTAGGATGATTAGTAATACTATTTCTCTGCAGAAATTTGGAACAAAGAATTTTACATTATAGCATATTTTGAAGTATTTAATTTATGAAACATACATTATTTAGTAAGAATAATGCTGTATAAGTAGGTTAAAAAAGGATTGATTTTAATATCAGATCATCTTGGCAGTGTCATTTTAAGATCTATTGTCAAGTAAGTCAGTGCTTTTAACAATTGATTTAATCAAGGCTACCACATTGTACAAAAATTACTGATTATTTTCTTTAACAAGAGTATCGAGTTTTAAGCAGTCATATCCTGGCATATTTTAAGCAACTTTTGGAGTAGGAGAGATTTGCTGGGCTTATACAGACGAAATGATTCCTAGTGGTTGCCAATTTCTGTGGTGTAAATACATCTACCACAACTGATTTCAAGCTACCAGCATACTGTTGCTACACGAGAAGTTGGGAAGATTTGTACAATTGTTGTAAGCCAGTTTTAATTCACTGCTGCTTTTAAAGAAACCACACAAATTCTATTTTCTAAAACAAATACATTAAAAAGTACTGCATAGAAAACCTTCCAAACTAGTCAGTGCACACTGAAACATGATAGTCTTATGTGTAACTTTGTAAGAAAAGATATACTCTGAATATATGTATGTATATTGCCATGTATTTCATATATTTTTTGTGTTGTCTGCTTACTTAATACATAACTGTTAAAGATTTTTCATATTCTGACAACTTAATAAAATATTCCTAAAATTATAAAAAAAAATATGTCTAGGATCCAAACTTCCACTATTGAGTAGAATGAAGAGTTTTTGCTTAGAATATTCTTTTTCCTTCATCCTTATCTCTTCCTACCATGAGCAGGGGCACATTATACTTGAAAGCATAAATAAAAGACCTCACTTTGTACAGGTAAGTTGATTATAACTGAATCGTCAGTGAATGAGCTAAGTTGTGGTTGCTTTCAAGTTTGTCTGAAATTCTGTTTTACTACTGGAAGCCAATGGAAACATTTTTCTTAATCTATGCAAACTGTTTAGCCCCCTTCCCACTGGAGAAGCAGGAAATCAGGGGACGGCACTGCTCTGTGCATGTGGTTGGGCCTCAGCACGCTGGAGGAGTCTGATCCTAAGCTATCATTAGTTTGAATTAAAGCTGTTCACATGGCAGGAATGCTTACATCTACGTGTCATTTCCATAAGGCTATTTTTGTATGATCACTCCAGGAGGACGTTTCTTTTTTTTGAAAATTTGCATTCCTTTTCTCATTTTTAATCATATTGTTTACATGCCAATACTATCCTTGGTATTCAAAGGTATTATAAACTCTTTGAAGAAAAAGATAGGTTCTCACCCATTTGTTGTCAACCACTACATTTAAAAAAATTTCCTAAATACAGTAATACCCTTTATTAATCAATGAAAGTCAAAAACAAACTCTCTCTCTGAAGACCTTTTATGAAATACATTAAAAATTACTGAGGTAATCTTTTCCTACTAGCTCCCACTATATGAAAATTTCAGTGTCTATTCTAGATTTTTCTGCTCTCCTGTTTTTAATCTCTAAGCAGCAGTTTTTAATGCACTTGTCACATTTTTACCTAAATTGAGAAAAACACTCCCACTGTTATATAAGCAGTATGAGGGAAAATCTTGAGCTTTTGAGATGGCAAAACTATTCCAAGTTAAGAATTAATTTTTCAGGGAATTTCATATTAAGTGAATCGGAGTTTATTTGTTAGGCTTTCCTTACTAATGGTGAAGGAATCTTAAACCAAGATAATCTTTCTGAGAGTCATGACGCTTTTCGGAGGGGCCCTAAATGGAGCCTGTCTTTGTGTGGAAATGTCATCACACGTGAGGAGGCTGGGTCCTGAGAATGTCTATCAGAAAGGGATCATAAACACTGTAGTAAAATCATTTTGTTTTGGGCAGATATATTCAGGTGTGGACTTAGGCAGGTTCATGGTGAACTAAATGACACTTCATTTTCAAGGTGCCTCCCACAGTCCCTTCCAAAGCTGTGGGACAAACCCCAAGGTGCATCTTTGTTTTCAACTGTGAGACCATAATATTAAACTATCATTAGTGCTGAATTAAAGCTCAAACACGCAAGCAATTCAAACACACAAGCTTAAATATCGAATGCTTTCTCTTTTATAAAAAGCAGAGGTAATATGAAAAAAGAGAGAAAAAATATAATCCAGAGTGTAGTATATCTAAAAACGTATCTTGATTTAGTACAATTCTCCTTCATTAGTCTGGTGCATGATCTGTATTTATGATAATTAAATTTATACTCTTATAAGATATATAAATCTGATGCTAGGAGAAAAAAAGGGATGTGGCAGGAAAGGGGAAAAGAATTAAAATGTTATGTTCATGTACCAATTCCCTACAATGAATGTAGTCATTATGGACTACAACCATGTACTAAGAAAAGTTTTAAAAAAATTGTAGGCTCCAGGCACCACAAAACAGGGTTCTACTCATGGGAATGCCCATCAAGGAAAGAAGACTATTGTGAAAAAGAGTGCATTATTCAGACTGTCTAAAGACCTCTGTTCTAGTTTGTGGTTAGCACTGACTATATAGACTCTCTAGTACACTGCAACTTGCTGAGACTGTTTGCTTACCTGTGAAATGGCACAGGTAAACTACCCCATCTTTTCTGAGTTACATGCTAATAATTACCTAGAATAACACACTAGGTATAAAAAAATCGATGTTTAGAAATAATTAACAACTGAAAAATATTACAAGGTGTGTTCAGAATTATTGTTTAACAACATTGTTATTTTCTCATTGTTCAATATAATCAAGTATCTAAGAATCCTCCTGAACGTGGGTCTCTGTTCTTCCTACAGAAGATGCTTCCCAGCCCTGTCTTACCGAGAAGTGGTCATTAATCCTGGATTGCAGTGGGTTGACCTTTTTTGACTACTCTGGAGTTTCCATGCTTGTTGAGGTATTTTGCAGAGCCTTGATTTGGACTGATTGCTTCCTTTCTCTTAAGGAACAGGAATTTCACCCGCCACTCCCTCAGCTCTGTGGTTTGAGTTTGTTACGTTTGTTTTCAAGAGATCCTGTCAGGCTTAAGGGGTGTATGTGTGAGGCCAGGGCTAGGGTGTTCTCATGGATGTCACAGGACATAGATTTGAGATGTGACGGACATAGTACCTGCTAGACAGACCACTTATAGGGCTTCTAGAAAAATAGAGAAAAGTCCTACCCAGAGGATAGGCTACATAATAAGCAAATGACATTAGTGACCACAGACTATTGTCCCATATCATGGCCAGTTTCATTTTTGGTCTAATACTATCTCTGATCTTTCAAACCTCCATTTCCACTTAAGGAGGAACACCAAACTCTGTGAATTTAAGGAAAACTTGGCCTGTTCCTGGGAAATTGTGTTTCTTTTTAAGTAAACATTACATCCACAGGAATTCACCCCTCCGTTTTGTTGAGTTCTCTTCCTCAGTGTCCTAATTAGGTGGAGTCTTAAGGATGGGGCAGTATCTGCTCCTCAGTATCCCCGTTTTCCTACTAACTCTGTGCCTGTGCCTAGCATTCCTCTTCTTGTGCTTGATCCCCGATTTTCCTTACCCTGGAACCTTCTGAAGACTCTCTATGTGAGGCTGCACATTCAGCCAAAACCTTAAATAAAATTATGGACCTTTCTGGAACTCTTCTCTGCATGACTGCCTCCTTTCAACCCTCTCTTCACCAGTCTTACCTGCTCACTCTTCCCTGAATTCCAGTTCTGTGTGCTTAACCCAAATAAAGCTTTGGGATGTCACTTGGGTTGCCTCATCATGCCATGGCCCAATGCTTAGAGGCATCCGGGTGGGCTGCACAGGTACTAGCCCGAGTTGTCTTTTTCTCCGGGAGCTCAGGCCTGTGCTGCCTGAGGCCATGGTCCAAATACAGCTGTCCCTGTGTGTTTGTCCAGTTGTCTACTTGTGTAGGGAAGGTGGGACAGTCTTGTGTTAGCTACTGTGGTAGACAAAAGTGGAAATTGAATATAGACCGTTAAGGGGTTCAGATTAGAAGCCTTGATATCGTCTCAGATCAATTTTGATTTTAAATTTACTTTAACAAGTTCAAATTAAACACAAAATGGTATGCAGGTCAGCTTCAGTCTCACTCTCCTATGACAATGAGGACAGGAGTGTGGGGAGGGAAACTGCTTAGTGACAGTCACCCTTGTCATCCCTGAGGAGTCATCTCCTTACTCTGCATCTGTGAATTCATTTGTAAAGATGAGGAGATTTTTGTTTCTGGATTAGCAGACATTTAAAATGCAAAGAAATATTCCCTGGGGCTGGGGATTTAGCTCAGCGGCATAAGGGCCTGCCTTGCAAGCAGGCAGTCGTGAGTTCGATCCCTGGTACCGATAAAAAGACAAAAAAAAAAAAAAAAAAAAAAAAGCAAAGAAATAATACAAAAAAATTTAAATTCTTTAGGTCTTACATGCAGTGGATATTTTTGGCAGGTTACCCTTTTCCCTATGAAATAAACTTTTTTGTTTATTGTTCACTATAAAAACTTTGCATAATTGGGCATCAAATCAAACTGACTACTTAGGTTTTCTTGCAACTGAAGCTGTATTGCAAACACGTTACCCCTCTTCTCCATCCACTGTAGGTTATTTGTTTATTTATTTATGTTTGCAGTACTGAGGATTGAACTGAGGCCTGCCCATCCAGCTACCTCCCTATCCCTCATTTTAAATCATGAGACAGGGGTCTTGCTAACTTGCTAAGATGCCCAGGCTGGACTCAAGCTTTCAGTCTTCCTGCCTGAGCCTCCTAGCCACAAGTCACCTTATCCTGCTGGAAGGATTTTCGTGTTTGGCAATTTTACCTACTGGGTGTTGCTGAGGTCTAGAAGAGTCCTATTGTAAACTGTGTGCTTCAGGAGGATCTTGGATCTCATTTTCCATGAAGGGTGCCCAGTCATAGTTCTAATCCAGAATCTTGAAGCAACCACAGGTATTGCTCACACAAGTGATACAGTGAGAATTTGGAGAAATACTAGCTTTGGTAGAATCAACTGACTGATACAATTGATTTTTAAGTTGGCAAAAAATGACATTTACCCTTGTGTATGTGTTTTTCATCTATAAATATACAAAACCAACAGTTTTGCATCAGTTTTCTCGTCTTAAGTTTACATGTAGCTATTTGGTTTATTCCATCAAAGTTATTATAACAGTATGCATTAAGAATTTAGACTTTAAAGATAGACAAACTCTGGGTCCAACCATTAGTCATATATTAGTTCTATGGCCTGGATCAAAGTGTTTGTTTTTCATTTCTGTAAACTAGGAGCAAGAACACCTGTTTTATCAAGTAGTAATGCTTGTGTTGTGAATAAAAAATGTCTAGCAGTTAACAAATACTCAATGATGCTAGCATCTATTATATTCTTCTTATTTAAAACAGTAATTTCATAAGGGGCAAATAATATCATAACTAATAAATATTATTTCTTAGTTTCAACCTCCCTGAGAGAGGGTCCTGAACAAAGAACCACAGAGATTCTTTCACCATGCATATCTTCCTGCCTTCTAATAACACTCCTGTCCTATTTCATTAGTCACTTTAGCAGAGACAAAATCTCCCAGGAGTTGTAGGTTAAAGGAAGTAGGGTGACTTCTGTTTATTCTTTTACTTAGGACACGGGAGAGGTCAGTGAACTGGAGATTATATTTATCAGCATCAACAAACCGCCCATAACAATGTGTTTGTGCTTCACTGAGCTTAAGAAAAAGGCAAACACTGAGAGGTCACCTTGAATTAATCACTCTAACTTAACCAAAGCAGGAGCCATTTTATATTAAAGTCTCGGTCCATATGTATTTGGTTTGCTTGCTCATATATTTGTTTGTTTGCTTAAAGTGGTACAACTCCTATTATTTCAGAAGTCTTATCACATATAGAGAACTGCTTGCTGCTGGAAAAATAGGGAAATTTTGGATGAAACACACGATAACTGCAGCTTTTTGTAGTTTCATCTATGATATAGCACAGTTATATAGCAAAATCTATCCTACTGTAGCTAGATTGTCAAGATTCACTTTCCCTGCATTTCATGGTATGATTTTGTTCTAGGTGAATTTAAGATTAGAGCCTTTCATGCATTGTTTGTACTTGAGATTTTCTAAAATTTAAGAGGTAGGACTCTGAAGTGTGCCAAGATAATTACTTAGCATGTCTCACTGATGGACCTTTACGAAAGGAAGTTGGGAAGTCCAAGTTGGCTTAGATCCTGGTGAGGTTCTCAGTTTGCCATCCATGAGTGGGATTTAGAGAGTCTGAATGTGCTCAGAATACTGCGAGTGATCAGGGCAGCAGAAGGCCAGCCCTCATCGCTTTATGAATAGGTCCTTGACTTCCCATAAAAGCAGTTGAGAACCATTTTATGTCATTATTATGGGAAAGAGAAGGCAACGCTTTGATTTGTGTTAAATATGGTGGGGAATAGAAGCAGTCGAGCTTAGCTGCAGTGAAGGTAGACGCCCGACTGGACTGATTTTAAGTCTCTAAATGCTTGCTGGGTTGTGCCCCTCTATCTGACTATGTAACAATGTCTCCCTCTGGTGGCTTAACTTCATACAAATGTGTTTTATTTTTATTTTTGTCTTCTCTTTTAATGCTCTTTTAAAGCCTCTTTTACTTTTTTCTTAGCCGTTATTCTGAATTAATCATAGGTGTAATGTTTGGACCCTTCCAGGTTTACACGGACTGTAAGGACATGAATATGGATGTATCATTAGCCAGCTGTCCAGGTAAGGGAGTGACCTTGTCTGCCATTGAATGTGATCCTTTTGGTGTCTTGCATATCTTTATATCACCTGTGCTTTCTTGTAGATTCCCTGATCAAAGCAATGAAGTACTGTGGAAATCTAGACTCAGAGAGGCCAATTTTTTTTGAATCAGTATCTGCTGCAATAAGTAATATCTACTCAAATAAGGTGAGTTGGTTTAGGTGGAATGTAGCAATTGTTTGAAAAACTAGAATGTAATATCAAGAGCTTTATTTTTTTATATTAGTTTTTACCCCGCTAGCATCGAAAATCTGTTAAAATAGCTCTTTACCCCAGAGTCCTCTGCTGCGCATAAAGAAATGTTTTCATTTCTTTTTCCAACCATTAGGAACAATTGCTTAATAATTTGTTGTTCAGCAAGTTATTCCAATAATGGTACTGCTTGGAGGATTTGGCATTCATCTATCAAGTGTTTAAGGCTTCTTTAAAGCTTCCTTCATGATTTATACAATCCTGAAATTTTGAATTCTCTCTTAAATGCAAAATTTCTCCATACAACCTTTCAGCTTGTTTTTTCTGCTCTCTTACTTTTTCCTCTAACCAGTGGTGGCGAACCTATGGCAGGTGTGCCACCATGGGTGCTCATGTCACTGAAAGCTTGAAAAAGTTCGTCATCATTGCATCTAAGTTTCCTTTTTTTTTTTTCTTTTTTAGGCAGTCTTGCCATACGGTTCAGGCTACCCTTGAACTCACTATGTAACCAAGGCTGGCCTTGAACTCACAGTGACCCTCCTGCCTCAGCTTCCAGAGTGCTGGAATTACAGGCATATACCACCACACCTGGCTATCTAAACTTATTTTGACTGCCATTAAAAACATTATTTACAGAGCCTAATGTTCACGTGATTTGAAGTGTGAAAATTATCTTCCAAAGACTTAGCTTTCAGGTTTACTTTTACAACTGTTCCCAAGCTGTTATTTCTTCCAATTTTTCTTAAGCTTTTGAAATAAGTTTATCTTTCCTCATCCCTAGAATGATATTTGGTGCCTGCCAGAGACATCCCTATCATTTACAATCAGAATAGTATGTATTTAAAAAATAATAATAGCAATGTTATTGCTGTTATTATAACACCTAACATGTATTGAGTCTTACTGTGTACAAGGGCTATTCTAAGAGCTTCATCTGTATTAATTAACTATATTTACCAGAACCCAATGAAGTGATACTATTACTTACCCCATTTTGGGGCTTAGTAATAGGAAAAAGGAGACCCAAAGATACTACACCATTTGCAAGCAGAAGAATGGTTTCAAAGCCAGTGGTCTCATCTTCAGCCTGAATCTTTATACCACTATACCCTGATACCTCATAGGAAACTCATTTTCTGAGCATGGCTGGCCTGCTGGATTCTGTTGATACTGTTCTGTTGCTATGGTACTGATTTAAGAGTTGACTACGTAGCAGATGCTTATTTTTTTTCTCTTGTATTTCAGAGTTCGAACAAACTCACTGACCACAGTGAAGTCTGAGATCCTTTTGTGGAGTTGAGAGCTTGTCTATAGCAGCTACCCCGAAGAGGCCATATACTGGCACTTTGCACAACTTTTTGTTGTTTTAATTCAACACACGACTTCTAGTATAAGTATGATGTGATTAAGTAATTGCATAGCCACTGGTCAAGATCTGTCAACAATTTTTTATATCTTTGTTACTAAGAAAAATTCCTTGACTATTTTATATAAGGATTAGTATGCATTTAGTTTTAATGTACTGAAGGACAAACATGATTTTATTACAGTAGTTTCTTTTGTTTTATTTTTACATTGCTGTAAGTTAATTTTTAAAACAGAGAAACACTTCTGTTATAGAGATTTGGAATATTTAAAAGCCATTTGCTAAACCCCAGCATTACCTGCAACCTGAAAACACTACATAAAAACAACCTAGCAAATGTGCCAATTACCTGGCTCCACTCTCCTCAAAAGCCATTTAAACATCAATATGACTAAACACTACTTTATACAATGGGGCACAGAATTCACAAAAACAAACCAAATTGGAATATACCACAAACTGGAAATCACTGCCTCCTACACCCTTCATTACATTCATTCCTGAAGTTTGCGTGTCTTAACCAAGAATGTTTTTGTGTTGGGAAAATGGATATCCCAACTGAGATGTTGACATTTGTCTGTTTTGCTAAGAATATTGGAAAATCTTGGGCTCTTCACATTGGACAGCTCTAAGTTTTACATTCCTGCTCCTTTAAAGTCTTCTGCTTAAGTTTCTTTGGAGCTAGAGAGTTTGGAGATTTCTTATTTTATATTTTTCACAAATATGATTTTTTAGATAAGAAAATATCACTGGTAGACTAGCCTTATGCTAGTTCAGGGTAAGAGTAACGGTAGTTTTGAACTTTCTTATTTCAGAGATACTGTCAATAAAATATATTTATCTATCTCTGGATAAAGTCTCCATAGTTTGTTTTCTTTTTCTTTTGTTAGAGACCATAGATGTAATGATCTGTAGGCCCATCAAACCAACAGGATAGTTTAAAAGTGAACACTGAAGGCCAGGCTTAACTACAGACATTACTGTTTCAGGCTTGTGCATGTATATTTCATGGCATGATGCTACACAATTTCACATTTTTATATATCTAGTTGATATACACAGGAAGAAGAATTCCCATTTTCAAAAATCACACATAGACACACAATTATACTTAAGACTTAAAAGTATCTTAACACTTCTGGTAATTACCAGTGTAAAAAAAACCAAATACTTTAAATGACTTTGAAAAGTAGGTTGGAAATAAAATCGAGAGAGTCATCCTTTAGTTGCTTTCATGAATCTCTGTAAGAATAAATCCTAGCTCCTGACTCCTGATGCATCGCAATGATCCCTAGCAAAGGTGTGATAAGCAGTTATATGTCCCTTAATTTTCAGATTAAATCCTAGATAGGAATATGTAATAAAATGAAAGAGGAGTGTTTTGATTCTGACAGTTTATCCAACTATTTAAAATTTTGTTGACATGAACTGCAAAGAATAGACTCAGTCCAAAATACCTCAATCCTTTTATCACTAATTTAGATTGAAATAAATGAGCTTAACTTACATTCCCATCAGTGTTCCAGGGAAAGATGCAGGTAGTAACAGAGGCAAAATTTACTTAGAGATAGGAATTTCACTATGCTTTGTCCAATCAAATCATCCCAATTAAATGATGATAAAATTCACTATCCTCAGTCCATTAACATGAGTCAAAGAAAGTCAAGAAAAGAAAATATATTTTGCTCTGTGTAATGTGATATTTTGCTATGCAACTCTGGCCTATAATTGAATTCATGCACTGCAAGCATTCTTTAATTTATTGGAGATTATGGACCATGAATGGCATTAAAATCATTATAGTTAATCGATGGATGGTATGTTGCTTTCATCATTAATGCTGATACAGTATTGTCTGAGAAGTATTTCAGTGTTTATAGTAGAAATTCAGTGGACAACACTTTAAAGCCAATAACATAGGTCAAATATTAATATTAAATTCAAGAAAAAGAAAGATCATATCTTAGTGGTATGTAATTTTTTTCCCATGGTTTTCCCCTTGCACTCAGAAGAGAGCAGTCTTAAATTTAGTTCTAAGAGTTCAAAAATTAAATATGAATTTTAGATGCATGAGATTGTAAAACACACTTGTTTATTTCAAAGTAAGACCTAACAACACAAAAGCAGTACTAAGGTCCTAATGCTAAAAGCATGACACTACATTTTTTTATGGGATCATCTTATTTTTGTATGTGATAACCTTCTTTCATATTATTTCTTATGATAAAATAAAATTGAAAAGAATTAAAACAGACTTAAAAGCAATTTAGGGACCTACTGTAGTGGCACATATAAATTAAGTCTAAAATATGTAGCCAGGAAAATATTATTAACATTACATTTAAGAAAATTAAATGGTCTTAAATTTTACCATTTATCTTTCACTTTAAAGGTTATTTACCCCAATTATATAATTCCAGTATTATAAGGTTTAGTTTAAACCACTTTGCGGTAATTTATTTGACGTATCTCTCCTCTATAAATGTATAATGTAATGATTAAAGAGATCTTTCTTTTAAAATGCAAACATTCATGTGTTACTACCTTGTATTAATAATGTTTGACATGTAGTGGCTACTAAATTTGTTGCTATGTTGTTGAACATATATATGCCTAGAAATGTACGTTTTTGTGTTCTATGATGATCTGATTCAATATAGAATATGCTTTTGGCAGTAAGTTTTTGCCAGATTTAAAATAGGGAGTTAAGTGGTGCTTTCAGAATCCAAAGATTTTTAGTTAAGAATTATGTAGTTTAGTATGCTACACTTATTATTTTTATATTTTTAATGCATTTAATTATCTTTTTATAATTCTTTGTACTAACTCAGCATGTAACAACCAATTTACATGGAAATAAATTGAAATATGGTAACTATTACGCTTGATGAATTTGTACCCATTATTTCAGAGTATTTACTCTTCAAAAAGCAAATCATACATATTGTTTTCTTGGACTGACCACAGAGTATTATGTGTTGAAAATGCCTAGAGTTCATTATTCATAGTAATTTGTTCTTATAAAGTGGAAGAATTAATTATGGAATGCTGATAAGGGCATAGTATTCCTAAAGGCCATATTTATGCAATCCTCTTTAACTAGATTTATGTCCTTTTCATTTTAATTTTAATTAATATTTACATATTTATTTTGAGAGGTTCTTCATTATATGTTGCTATTTGTTTTTCCTGAATTTTTAAGCTGAATTCAATATTCCTCAACAATTTTCTTTTTCAGTACTGAGGATTGGGCCCGAGGCCTTTGGACTGAACTACATTCCAGCTTCTCTCTGTCTGTCTGTCTGTCTGTCTGTCTGTCTGTCTTTCTCTCTCTCTTTCTGAGTTACTAAGTTGCTCAGGCTGGGCTTGAACTTGTGACCCTCCTGCCTCAGTCTTCCCAGAGTGGTAGGGTTGCAATTATATAATTCCAGTATTGTCTTAGTTACTTCCTTTGTTGTTGAGACACAGTATCGAACACCTGCAACTTCAATTAGCAGATGTTTACTTGGGTCATGTTTTTAGTTCCTAGTTGGCTGGTTCTGAAGCAGGAAGATGTAATGTAAAGGCCTGGGTGAAGGAGAGCTGGGTTCATGGCATAGCTTCCAGGAAGTAGAGCAAGAGAAAGGATGAAAGTCAGAAAGGAGGTAAACCCTCTGAGGCACACACCCAGGGACCCACCTTTTCAGCCAGAGCCTACCTCCTAACACCAACCCAGCTCTAACACCCCCACAGTCCAATCACCATCCGGAAGTCTAGACCATAAGTGTGCGAGAATTTGGGGGGACATCCAGATATAAACTGCAACACCGTGTTTGGGTTTCTCAGCATTTAAAGGTCCCAGATTAAGAATATAAAACATTATTCTAGGAAATAAAGCAGTGAATAAAACAGAAAAAAATAAAACCTGACCTCGAGAACTTATATTCTAAATCAGGAAATGCAGGCAATAAAAAAGATGTATTAAAACACATGTATGTGAGTGGATGATAATATGCACCAAAAGGAATAAACTAAGGAAAGATAATTAGAAGTGTGACAGAGGTGAGTGGTGAGAGGGCAGAAGGATCACTGAAGGGAGTGTCCTCATCAGCCTAGGCTGAACTAGCAAAATACCTGACTAGGTGTCTTAAACCACAGACATTTATTTCTTTTTTATTTTAAAAACAATAAAAAATAACAGAATTTTAAAACCAAGTAATAGATTAACACTGGTTAATATATTGTGTATTGTTATCTTCACAGTAGTCATTCAGATTACAAGATATAGGCATGAAAAAATGGTCAAACAATGAAAGCACAAACTGTTCTAACAGAGAGGAGTAGTATATTCCTTCTATTTCTTATATTTGTGGAAGGCTAAGCTTGTACTGGAGCATGTGCACAACATGCGCAAGACTGCACATTCAATCTCCAGCTCTGTAAAAAAGAAAAATTATAAATGCATTTCTGGAGCCTAGGAAGTCCAAGGTTATTGAATTGACTGGGGAATTCAGTTTCTGGTAGGGTGTCACAGTATGTGATGGTGGCTGCATACAGGACAAAGAAAATTAGTCCAGAGACGAGAGTTCAGTTCAGTCACTGAAAGGACCCACAGGGACTACTGTTCAGCATAACATAGCTGCAGCTACAGTGAGCTGAGAACTCTGTGGTTATTTATTTGTAACTCAAGAACATGAGAACAAAGGAAAAAAGAAAGCTACTTGCAGCATATTGTATAGGAATTTTGATCAAAGGACAGAGCGGGAATGGCATGGTTGGTTTTATGACATGTCGACCTAGTTTAAGCAATCTTTGGGGACAGATGGGACACAATGGCCAAAGCAAACGTCTCTGAGAACAAACTGCTTGCGATTCTGCTGTTGTTCTGCAGCTTCTGTGCTAAACTATAACCAGGTATTCCAGTAGTCTTAAAATGTTGTCTAGAAAGCTCCTCCCTTCCTTTTGCATTCACTTCTCACCCTGCTTTGCCAGGGTCTTTCCACAGTAAGGAGTCTCTCTTGACTTGTCTGTGATACCTTCTCACTGGGTGCTTATGTGCTAGGGAGAGATGGAAAGAGAGCTTTCTAATGCTTCTTCTTATAAGGACATGTAATACGACCCAAATCCATGTCCTAATTTAACTTTTTTCTTATTTAAGGAGAAAAAGAAAAAAACAGAAAAAGGGTACAAGTAATATAAAATTTAAAAAGTAAACAGTAAGAAATCACTAGTTAATAGATTACATATTCTCATCTTAGAAATAGCTGTTCAAGTTACAAAATTGAAGCATATAAAGTGGACTTTCAAACAGTGAGAGTACAAATAATGCAAAAAAACTCAGTAATATGGTTAATGATCCAAAAAAACTCAGTAATATGGTTATCTATCTTATACACTTAAACATTCATGCAGTTATAACCTTTAGAGCACTTTCTTTTCTTTTGTACAATGACAATTACACATTTTGGGTTTTATTACTTGCACAGTTCTTATTACTTTTTTTGAAGAGAGTAAAACCAAATGTGACATATCAGAACAGAGTCAGTCAAATCAAAAGGATGGACATAATAGATAATGTAAAAACAAAATACAAGGTGATCAACAATGGTTACCATACTGCCTCTTGCTATTTTAAGAAGAATTGCCAGTTATAATAAAATTGAATAAAACAGTAAAAAATAAAACCAAAGCATTGGAGACATTACAGGACTTTAAAAGAAGATAATAGTCAACCTGAATGGGCGTCCTAATGAATCTTATTGTCTTCACAGTTTTGCCTATACTTTCGAACTTGGTACTATCAAGCGAAGCAGAATAGGGGAAAATCAGTCCAAACAAGATGGTGAGGGCAATACAGGATTTCAAATCAAGTTAATAGGAAATCAAAGTAGGTTACTATAATGTATCCTGCTATTTTTATTTATTTTTCCCTTAATTAAAAAGATAAAAAGAAAAAAGTAAATAATTTTTAAAAAGGGGATTGAGATAAAAGAGGGCATAACAACAGAACAGCACAGGTCAAAACATAACCATTTAAGCAAAATAGTGTTTCACCACAAGATATCCTGACATAAAAATAGTTATCATAGTGTCTCTTTCCTTGAAATCTTTGAGTATAACTTCGTATACTGTAGTATCAAACATATCAAGACACTATAAAACCATTCAAGAGAATGACATTATTACACGGTATTTAGAACCAATTAACAGAAAATGAACAATGGTTTCTGTATAATCTCCTTGTCTATAAAAGTTTTTACTTATATTATCATATATAATAAAATCCAATAAGATACAACCTTTTAAGCCAATGGAGACAGAAGAATACAAGTTTGATGGGACTTCAAAACAAAATGATACTAAATTAGCACTAGCTATTATGATGTCTTGTTTTCTCCAAAATAGCTGTTCCTACCATCTGATCTTCTCTGCCTCATTTCTGTTGAGCTCTTTTTCTGTCATTTGTTGCCAATTTGTCTTCTTCATTTCGCTTTCTGCTTCATTCATTGTGGCCTCTCTGCCACTATTTCTGAAATCTTGGTATTTTCCTTTTTTAGAATATCCTGCAGTATTCTGTGTAAAGTTAATTGGTAGTTGCAAATTCCCCCAGTTCCTCTTTATCCTGGAAGCACCTTGTTTTTCCATCAATTTCTAGGGATAGTTGTGCAGGATATATCAATCTTGGCTGGAGTTTATTATCTTTCAAAGCTTGAGTTATCTCCCCCCATGCTCTTCGTGATTTGATGGTTTGTGCCAAGAAGTCTGCTATAATTCTAATGGGTGTTCCCTTGTAAGTGATCTGTTTCTTGTCTCTGATGGCTTTTAATATTCTGTTCTTATATTGGATTTCTGGAATTTTGATTATTATATGCCTGGGTATAGCTCTGTTTGGGTTGTGGGTGGCTGGGGTCCTGTATGCCTCGTACATCTGAGTATCTTTACCATTTGCTAAATTAGGGAAATTCTCTTGGATTATTTCTGTGAATAGCTTTTGTAGTCCATTTATTTGTGTCCCTACTTCTTCTTTTATATTCTTAATTCTTAAGTTATAGATTCTCTTATCATCTTCTAGCCTTTGTATTGTTGCTGTTTGGTTTTTTGTTATTTTTAAGAAGTTTTTCATTTCATGCTCCCATATTACAAACCTGCCCTCCAGTTCAGACAATCTATCCTTAGTTTCTCTCAAGCTGTTATGCCAGTTTTCGATAGAGTTTTTAGTTTCCTGGTAATCTCTTTGAAGCTGCTTCACATATTCTATGTTTTCTCTATTTTCTCCATCAAACAACTTTCCCCTTTTTTTCTGTTCTTCCATTTCACCATCTGTTTTTTCTTGGGTGGTGTTTAGCATTTCTCTAACTATTCTACTTATATCTTGCTTCAGGTCATTAATAACTTCATTCCTGAACTCGTCTATGAGGCTCTGGAGATAGCACTTTATGTCTCTTAGTGCCGTGTCTGATATTGTGTGTTTCTCAGGATTGGGGGCTGAGGACCTTTTCTTGTTACTCCCTCTTCCCATATTTTTTGTTCCTTTTATACAAGCAAATATAGGATGCCCAGTTTCTTTCTTTGTCGGTAACAGTTTGTTTGAATTGCGCTGGCTAGGTGTTCCTGCCCACTGCAGTGTACCAGGGAGACACAGACCTGGGCAGGCTATGCTGGGCCTGCCCTTCCAGGTCAACCTACCGAAGGCTTCACTGCTAGGGTGCACCTCCAGGCGCTGGGATCTGGTTTGGGCTAGCCTACTGGGTCTTAGTCAGCGGCATCATGCAGGCCAGGCACTGCCCACCAGTCCCACTTGAGAAGGAATATGTGACTGAAGGCACTGCAACAACCTGTTCCGGCTAGTCTGCCCAGTCCCAATATGTACTTTGCTGAAGCCTCCTACTCTAATGGAAG